GATTCGTGCCTGCCCACGCACAGCTGCCCACGCACAGCTGACCTCTCTGACCTCTCTGCCCACAGACAGACTCCGGGCACTGTCACTCTCACGCTGGTGTCCAGCAGGGCCGCAGGAGCTGTTCTGGTTTCTGTCTCCGGGCAGCCAGAATTGCACGGACCAGCACCCTGCGGTCCCGCCAGGCCCTGTCCGGCTCTGTCCCGGCTCTGTCCCGGGTCCCTCCCGGCTCTGTCCCGGGTCTCTCCCGGCTCTGTCCCGGCTCTGTCCCGGGCCCTTCCCGGCTCTGTCCCGGTTCTGTTCCGGCTCTGTCCCGGGTCCCTCCCGGCTCTGTCCCGTTCCCTCCCGGCTCCGTCCCGGCTCTGTCCCGGCTCTGTCCCGGCTCTGTCCCGGCTCTGTCCCGGGTCCCTCCCGGGTCTCTCCCGGCCCTGTCCCGGCTCTGTCCCGGGTCTCTCCCGGCTCTGTCCCGGCTCTGTCCCGGCTCTGTCCCGGAGCTGTCTCGGCTCTGTCCCGGCTCTATCCCGGCTCTATCCCGGCTCTGTCCCGTTCCCTCCCGTTCCTTCCCGCGCTCCCGCCGTCACTCACTCGCCTCCGCTCCGCCCTCGGGGGCGTGGCCAGACCAACCTCGCCGCCTGATTGGCGGGCGCCCGTGGGGGCGTGGCCTGTGTGGCGCGGACGGCTGACGCGCCCTCCGCCGGCCCCGCCCCGCGCGGCGGCGCGGTGACGCCACACGCCGGCGCGGTGACGTCAGTGCGCGGCGCGGGGCCGCGCCGGGCCGGGCGCTCGTGTGGCGGCGATCCCGGGGCCGGAGCGATCCCGGTGCGCTCCCGGTACCACCCCGGTGAGCTCCTGTGCGATCCTGGTACCGTCCCGGTGAGCTCCTGTGCGCTCCCGGTAAGCTCCCGCTGCGATCCCGGTACCACCCGGGTGCCATCCCGGTACCGGTGCGCTCCCGGTGCCCTCCCCGTGCGCTCCGCTCCGGTGCCGCCCCGCAGCGCCGCCCGCCGCCGCGCTCCCGGTGCCGCCCGCCGCGGGCTCCGCGCAGGCGCCGGGCAGCGGCAGCCGCGCTCCCCGGGCCCGGTGCGCCGCCGCCGCCGCCGCCGCCGGGCTGACCTTGGGCCCGCGGCGAGCCGGGACCCGCCGGGCCGCGCCGGGGCGGCGCTGCGGGGCGGCACCGGGCCGGGGCGGGCAGCGCGGGGCTCGGGGCCGCGGCCCCGGGCGGGCAGGCCCCAAAGCCGGGAGCCTCCCGGGACCCGGCTGCTGCCCCGGGGCACGGAGACACCGCTCAGGGGCAGCGGGAGCCCGGGAGCGAACGGCTCCGGCCTTCCCCTGCCTTTCTCCCCCCCGCCCTTTCCTCCTCCATTTCTCCCAGCTCCTTTCTCTCTCGCCCATCCTCTCCCTTTCCTTCCCCCTTTTTGCTCCGCTCCTGGTCCAGGCGGGGCTGTTGTCCCGGACACCCCTGCCGCTGCTGGGGCCGCGCGTGTGCTGCTGGTGCCGGGCAGGATTTGAGGCTCAGGAGCTCCCACAGCCTCGTCCGGCTGTCACCGACCTTCCTGCAGCAGAGCGGGGATCGAGGGTGGGGTTTGGGCACCTGCAGGAGCATCTTCTCATGGGATTACATCAATCATCCCGTTTTTCTGTCCAACAGGGTTTGCCAGATAACGATCCCTGCAGTCCTCAGACCAGCTGGTCAAGCTGCCTCAGTTCCACACCCTTCAGGACACTGGGCCTGGCTCAATTCGCCGTGTGAAGCTTCTCAGCAGGAGTGGACGCCGAGCGTGGGGCTGATGCGGAGGAGGCTGCGTGGCAGTGAGCTGGGACTTGTGCACTGTGTCACTGAAGCCACCCGTGTGTGCCACCTGTGCATCCCTCGTGGGCGGAGGTGCTCAGCTGCGGGCTGAGTGCAGCCACACAAAGTGTGGTTTGTGCCTCAGGGAGCGGCCGAGCGCAAGGATCAGGCTGTGTGATGCTGCTGCGCGTGTTTGATTCAGTTTGGGCTTTTGACAGGTTTTGTGGCAGCCTCTCTTTAGTCTGTTCACACAGTGTTTTATCGGTGTGAGGGCCGGCCTTTGGCTGCTGGAACCTGTAATTTATTTCCATTTCAATCTGTTAGGGCACACTGTGTTTTCTGTCGGCCCGGCGCGCGCAGGGATGGCGCGGGCGGCGCGGGGCCCGGCGCAGCGCTGCCGTCCCCCCCCGTGCCGGCGGGGCGATGCGGTAGGGCCGAGCCGCGGGTGACCGAGACCCCGGCACCATGGCCCCGGCCGGCCCCGAGGAGGCGGCGGGCGCCTCGGGCAAGCACTACGTGTGCGGGCTGTGCGCCGCCTTCACCAACATCGCGGTGACCTTCCCCATCCAGAAGGTGCTGTTCCGGCAGCAGCTGCACGGGCTGCGCGCGCGCGACGCCGTGCGCCAGCTGCGCCGCGACGGGCTGCGCACGCTCTACCGCGGCATCCTGCCCCCGCTGCTGCAGAAGACCACCACGCTGGCCCTCATGTTCGGCCTCTACGAGGATTTCTCGGCGCTGCTGCTCAGCCAGGCCCGCGCCCCCGAGCTGCTGACGCGCAGCGTGGCGGCCGCGCTGGCCGGCACCACCGAGGCCGTGCTCACGCCCTTCGAGCGCGTGCAGACGCTGCTGCAGGACCACAGGCACCACGACAAGTTCACAAATACTTACCAGGCCTTCAAGGTGCTGAAGGCCTACGGGGTGCGGGAGTATTACCGGGGACTGGTGCCCATTCTGCTCCGCAACGGGCCCAGCAACGTGCTCTTCTTCGGCCTGCGGGGGCCCATCAAGCAGTGTCTGCCCGAGGCCACCTCGCACAGCTCCCACCTGGTCAACGACTTCATCTGCGGGGGCCTGCTGGGCGCCGTGCTGGGCTTCTTGTTCTTCCCCATCAACGTCGTCAAGACTCGCATGCAGGCGCAGATCGGCGGCGAATTTCAGTCCTTCCCCAAAGTGCTGGCAAAGATCTGGCTGGAGCGCGACAGGAAGGTGATCCACCTGTTCCGAGGAGCCCACCTGAACTACCACCGCTCGGTGCTGTCCTGGGGGATCATCAACGCCACCTACGAGTTCCTGCTGAAGCTGCTGTGACCCGTCCTGCTCGGGGGCTGTCAGCGCTCTCGGTGTCCCGGGGAGCAGTGCCTGTGCTGTGGCAGGTAACTCTTCCCAGCCTTCCGTATTTATGGGGTGAATGGTGATGCATTTAAACCTTGGTGCAATTATGATGAACTTCTTAGAGTATTCCTTTGCTGGCAGGTGAGTTTACCCATAACAGAGCTACCAGGCAAGTACAAGGTGTAAAAGAGGAAAGCAAAGTAGTCTGTATCACTCCCAGAATTGCGTTGTGCTCTGTGATGGGGCACTCCACTGCCCACGTTTAGAACATGAGAATCACGGAGGAGCTGAAGAAAAACAATTCCATTGCCTGATCATCTTCCCAGCTCGATTTCGGCACTGCATTGCCAGGTGTTCTGGGGTTCTCACTGTGCAAAGCTCAAAGGACAGGTACAGATGGGGATGCCTGAGGCGCAGAGCTCCCGCTGCGCCCCAGCCTGCTGCAGCCGCCACGGTGCGGCTGCGGTGACCGTGTCCTCCAGCCCTGGCACCGACCTCGCCCAGGCTGGACCTGTGTGTGTATGTGTGCGTGTTTGTACGTGTGCCTTCCTGGGAAAAGGGAAACGTGGAAGGAACAGGACAGCAAACTCACTAAAGCTTTAAAGTGTCCTTCCTCTTTAAAAAACACGGAGTTTGTTCTGCTTTTTCTGAGGACTTTTTATTTTTTAATTGCTGCTTTTTCTGTTGCCTCCAGCTACAGGATCAGGGAGGTTGTCCCTGTCTGTAAGGCTCACGGGACACTCCAGCTCCTGCAGCTGCTCAAGCACTTCACACACGGCTTTTTGCACTGCCACGTCTTGTCTTTTCTCTGCTCCCTCTGTGGAATTATCAATCACGAGACGTTTGTACCCAAAACTCGGGGTTCTGCCTGCTTGGTGTGTTTGTTGATGGTTCTGCAGCACAGGAGTGGCACGGGCAGGGTGAGAGTCCTGGGTTACCTGCTCCAGTGGAGGTCTGTAGGTGCGGTGGAGATGAAAAGCCAAAGATGACCTCGGAAGCAGGGAGGCAGGAAAGGTGGGGTGCTTGGAGATGTGTTTCAGGACTTGTGTGGGCAGGCATTGGAAAGGACTGAGGGAAACCTGTGTCTTACAGAGAGCAGAGAGAGAGACTCGAGGCTTTAGCTGCAGGGACAGAAGAGCGAGCACAACCCTGAGCTGGATGCGGGTCCCGACAAAAAGTGTTTGATTCTCCCTGAGGGCTTCCTCTTTAATTAAACTGTACATTCACATATAAACCAAAACTCTTTGGATGATGGGGAGCAGCAAAGCTTTCAGAAACTGCTTTGAATTTAGTCTTAAGTCTTGGAGGGGCTATTGCTTTTCTGAATTTGGGTTTTCCACTTGCTAAAACTGTCTTCCGAAATTGATCCTAATCAGTGTGTTGTAATCATACAGTCCTGAGCTTCACAGACAGCAGTGGGTGGGCACAAGCACGAGTTCCTGTATCCCAGTGGTGATTATGTCCATCTAAATAAAATGTTTACTGGATGTTTGTTACTGGCAGAATCTGATTTTTACTGGTGTACCTTTTTTTTTTTGTAATCTCTCCTTGATGGAATAAAAAAAATCTGCATCGTGTTTCTCTGTGGAAGATGTTATGTGCTCCTGTAATATCAGGGAAACCAAAGTGTCGAGGGTTTGGCACAAGCTCAGAGCTGGTTAGTGCCCAGCAAAAATGAAATGGTGGAGCCCTGGTGTGAAGTTCAGAGTCAATTTTGACTCTTCATATGTCACTTTCAGAAAAACGTAACGTAAAAGCACTACTGTGACACACACACTTGCAAATGCCAGCATCTGAACTACTGGAAGTGCTTTTCCTCTTAATCTTAGGGGGCAGGCAAGAGCCAGCATGGCTCATTTTAACATAAATAAATACACTTCAATTCAGTGAATTATTAAATGTTTATTATGCAAGCAAGAGAAACTGTCCACAAATAGTAAGTTACTGTACGGCTGTAAGTACAATACTTCCAAAGCAGTTCTGATACTTCATATACGGTATTAAAAGGCTACAGTTTTTACTATGAAATCTCAGGTATTTCAAAATACTCTACATGCACAATTTGTTTCTGTATTAAAAACCTTATACTTAACTGAGGATATTTAGTGCTTTAGAAAATGCACCTTTAACTAAGATCAGCCAATGAGAAGTTTCTGTTTCCTGCAGGCTAAAAACATGATGGGTCGTTGAGTTCTTCCTTTCTCTCCAACTTCTTACAATCTTTTAAACTACATTTTTTGAAAGCTTTCATTTGGCAAGTGTATTTATTTCTTTTCTAGGAGTTTATATGTCCTACAGCAAAAGACCCATGTATTACGATGTCAGAACCTTCTCCACATTAGTGCTACCCAAATAAAAATCACAACACAAACAGAAACAAACCCCACTAAATTAACCAAGACCCGTTCCCCCCTCCCCGCAAAAGCTGATGTTTACATTCTAATTCTGGTAGTAGGCATCGAGCTGTCCTTACCCCAAGACTCCACGAGTGCAAACAATCCTGTGTGTGTGTGTGGGGGCACCGCTGTGCTTGTCCTGTATCCCCGCGGTGCCACAGTGCCGGCCCTGCGTGACCCGGGAGCAGCAGCCCCGCGTGGTGCCAGCCCTGGGCACGGCACGGCACAGCTGGGTTGGGACAGGAGAACCTGGGACAGAGCAGAACCGGCCGTGACACTGCCCTGGGACAGAGCAGAGCCAGCCCTGACACTGCCCTGGGACAGAGCAGAGCCAGCCCTGACACCGCCTGGGAGAGAGCAGAACCAGAACCAGCCCTGACACCGCCTGGGACAGAGCAGAACCGGCCCTGACACCGCCTGGGACAGAACAGAACCGGCCGTGACACTGCCCTGGGACAGAGCAGAGCCGGCCGTGACACCGCCTGGGACAGAGCAGAGCCAGCCCTGACACCGCCTGGGAGAGAGCAGAACCAGAACCAGCCCTGACACCACCCTGGGACAGAGCAGAACCAGCCCTGACAATGCCCTGGGACAGAGCAGAACCAGAACCAGAACCAGCCCCGACACCGCCCCGGCTCCCGCGGCCGCTGCAACGTCCCCGCGGGGCTCCGTGGTGGTGCCACGAGTGAGAAACGCCGTGGAATTTATCCAGCGCTGCCACACCGGGTCACAGACACCCCTGGTGTGAGCCACCCCTCTGCCAGCACAGTCCATCCCCCGTGGAAATGTTCCCTTACGGTTGTTTCACAGTTTTATACACTTCTCGAGGTCGAGCATTCAACTTTTGAAACACAAGTAGAAGATAAACTTTTTTTTTTGTTTGACTACCTAGAAATAACCTGAAGCTCACCAACACATAACTTCATTGTTTCAGTAATGCTACTGAGAGAGAACTGAAAACACTTGCACCACCACATGACCGTGAGGCATGTCAGCTGTAAGCCACTGAGAAGTGAACTTCGCAGGTAAAACACGGTAAAGCCTTCATGGAAAACTTCCAAGTTTGTTGAAAAGGAGTAATCAGTCGAATGACCAAAATCTAAGACTACCTACTTACTCTAACTCAAACTTATTACAAATGTCATCAGAAAAACTAAGTAACGTTTCTACAGCATACATGTACTGATTCTGTTGTTTTATGCATCTGCTGGACACGCTACAGAAGCATCAAGGTGACCAAAGCCCCCCACCAGGTGAGCTGCCAGCCAGCCACAGGTGCTGTGGAGGAGCGGTGACACACCTGTCACACACCTGTCACTTCGGGTAATGGTCCTCTGCACAGGGTGAGTGTCCAAAGCTCAGCACAATACTGGTGTAAAACACAGCGTATCATGAGGTAGAATCAAAAAGGTAACACTCAGTGCATATTCACAGGCATAGCGTTACAGTCACTAGGGATCCACCAGTCTGAGGAGGTTCTGACAGCAAAAACAAAAACAGCCTTGGAAACAGACAGACCCACCCAAGAACCGCCTCGGTCCTGTGGGTGCTCCTTCACCTCCAAAACAAACACTGTGCAAGCCCAGAGAACGCCAAGGTTCTCTCAAGTGTCCCTGCAGTCCCTTCCATGATGTGTAATAAAACATTAAATAAGGTGAGAAAACAGTAGCCTGGCAGTGGGACAGCACATGCTTGGGGAAAAGCTGCTGCAGTCCTGGGCAGGACCTGGGCTTTTTTTCCCCAAACAGCCTGGCCCATACAAACTCCTGGTAGCTCTTCCTTTGCATAAAAATCCTGTATCCCATTCTTGTTCCCAAGTTTCCTGCACACTTCACTCCCAGGGCGTTGAGCCACACCAAGGGAAGTTCTGAGCGCTTTCCCAGCGCTGCAGATCCACCTGCCCAATGTGCAGGCTCAGGCCAGCAGAAGGGGTGTTAGCCCCCACAGTACCCACACTCGAAATTGAAGGCTTCATATTACCAAAGAAATTCTCCAAAAGAGGAAACTTGGGATTTTCTTCTCTCATAATGCAGAGGTTTAAATTTCAATGATTTCTGCACCCACACCGGGGTATACTACCCACATAAACACAGAGCTACAGGAGGGTCCTCAGGCTTACCTTTCCAGCTCTCTCACGTCCATAAATGTTGTCTTTATCCCCAAACACATTTTGCAAAAGGCTTTGTAAGAGTCAGCTTTGAACAAGTGTGCTCCGCTGAGCCAGAGAGAGTGTACCTGAACACCAGCAGGTGACAGTCCTTTCAGGTAAAGTTCCCTGCTGAACTTAGAGTGTGACTAGTCTGCAAAACTGCAGTGAAATACTAAAAAACCCTCATCTTGGAACATGTAAGTGATGAGAACATTATCAACTGATATGGATGCACAATACCTGTGCATTTACAAGGTTAGCTCTATTAACTCAAGGGCTGAAGTCTGGCATTCATACTCTGGGTGTGACCACACAATCACAGCATCCCCTGAGCCGGAGGGACCCACAGGATCAGCCAGTCCCACCCCTGCCCTGCACAGACCCCCCAGATCCCCCCGGGCATCCCTGGAGCGCTGCCCAAACCCTCCTGGAGCTCTGCAGCCTCGGGGCCGTGCCCACTCGCTGGGGAGCCTGGGCAGTGCCAGCACCTCTGGGGAAGAGCCTTTCCCAAAATCCAGCCCGAGCTGCCCTGGCCCAGCCCCAGCCCTGCCCTGGCTGCTGTCACGGCAGGGAAGAGACCAGAGCTGCCCCTCCACTGCCCACAGGAGGATGTTCAAGAGCACCATGAGATCTCATCTCAGACTCCTCCCAGCTCCAAAGGCGATCTCAGCTGCTCCTCACACAGCTTCCCCTCCAGACCCTCTCAGGGTGAGCACTGCAGTGTTCCACACCTGATGATAAGCCTGCTTAGAGCCAGGTAGATCCCACTGATGACAGGTTTGCTTTTGATGCTCTCCCAAACTGACAGCACATGTGAAGAAAGGCTCACCTGGCAATATTAGGGACACATCCAAATTAATTTCTCCACAGCCAGAGTGTAGGCCAAGTGTGTGTGGAAAAACAGCCAGGTGGGAAACACCCAAACATCAGCGAGAAGCCAGCATGATTCAGATGTGGGATGATGTGGCCAGCCCCCTGCGACAGACGCCTGGCAGAGGGCCCAGAGCTGCCCTGCTGCACGAACCCAGAGAGATCCCCTGGGCCAGGGTCCTCCCTAGCGCTGAGGGGTGGGCTCAGGGGGAGCCTGCCATGCAGGGGTGGGCCTGGGGGCCTCCAGTGGCCCCTGCCAGCCTAAGCCACACCAGGACTTATCCTTCTAGCCAATGACAACCACATTAACATAGAAATTAAAGCAAAATTCATTTTTCTTTTCTTTTTTTTTTTTTTTTTGGTGAGAGTAACTAACCGTGTTGCTTATGTAGACAAGCAGGCCGCATCTACTGATCACCACAGAGTTGCTTCAGTGACAGAAGAGGAAGCAGAGGTGAGGCAGTCCAGCTCCTCCTGGGCACCCTGCCCGTCCGTGCTGCTCCGACAGCCCATGGGAGCTGTGCTGAAGGAATCGATCAAGTACCAGGGTACAAACACAGCAGGACAGCAGCCCGGTGGCACGGGATCAGCAGGAGCACAGGTCTGCTGGGCTGGGCTGTGGGCTCACGGAGGCAGGACCGAGATCCGCTCGCTGCTGGCCTGGAAAATCCTCGCACGGCGCGTCCCGAGACCGCGGCAGCCGCCACCTCCTCGCAGCGGGAGGTTGGGAGAGAGCGCGCTTCACTCGGCGCACGTGGAACCCACGAACGTCCATCCGCAGGGCCGCGGCCGTGCCTAGAACTTTGGCTGGTACAGGGAGACGCGTCCGCTAAGGCACCCCGAGGCGATCTGACAGTGCGTGGGGGAGAACTTGGTGGTGAGCACCACGTCGTTGTGGGAGTAGAGCGAGCGGATCTCGCGCAGCGGGCTGGCCTCCCGCGGCAGGCAGTCCACCAGCTCGCTGCACTGCGCGTCGAAGCCCAGCAGGCGGATGCCGAAGCCGTGCGGGGACGAGATCATGCGGCCGTCGGGGCTGAAGCACAGCTCCTTGATGTAGCCCCGGCCCACGTTGGCCTCCTCGATGCAGTGCGTCAGGCGCAGGGAGCAGCGCGGCGACACGGGGCGCACCGGGGCTCCTTCCTGGAATTCATAGACACAAGTCCACTAAAGGGAGAGGCAGAGAAAGGGACACTGAAAGAGAAGTAAAGCACTGCCAACACACATTCCCTCCCCCTGCAGCAGGTAAAGCGCAGGAGGGCGATGCTCCTGCTGGCCTGCTCCCCAAGGAGCACGCAGAGCACCTGCCCCGCACCTCCCTCCCTGTGAGCCACCCAAGCAAAGCACCTGCCCGCCTTACAGCCACTCTTCTCATTAAATGTGCTAGGTATGACCTTCCCAATCTAGTCTCATCTGCAGAGAGCAAAGCCTAATCCTCAGGCCAGGCACCTGCTCTAATTTAGTAAATACTGAAATTAAATCTATAAACTCAGATTCAGCTGACTGTAACTCACTGGCATTTCATGCCTTTGACTTCAAAAGGAATGGAATCTTGAAGCAAGCAGGTAACACATTTTTGAAGGAAGGTTATGAACACCTTTACAGCCAGTTTGTTATTTCTGACACACATTAAGGATCCCTGTCATTCCATTATTTAATATCAGAACAAATGTAAAAAGTTTAAAGCTTGTTGATTCCACTTCAGCTCCAAGACAAGCATTCCTAGCTGTTTCATGCATGCTTCTCAAATAACCACAACACAAAAAGTACCACTGAATATTAATAAAACAGAGTAAAGCAGACTCAAGGACTAAGAGAAATTATAACTCAGTCATCAGTACCAACTGACCCAACGTAACATTTTGCATGTTACAAAAATTCTGTGCTGTACAGCAGTTTCCTTGTTGCAGAACCAGCATTAAAATTTATGACCAATCTGCTAAGCTTCCACTCAGTCCTCTACACATGTGTGAAGGGTTACCATTACAAAGGGTGACTTTCTTCAACAACAACAAAAAAATCCCAAATAAATACACAGAGACAAAAAAAAAAAATCCCACCAAACCCAATTAACCTTGATTTACATCAGCAATCAAAGTAACTAAAACTTTATTATTGGTCCAGTACTATTCTCTACTGTTGGTGAAGTTAGAGGAGCAGAATGTGCAGCTTGCAGCTGAACTGTCTTAGCTGGTCTTACAACTTCCTGCATCAAGGAAAAGGCTTGAAGCAGGTTCTACCAGGAAGATTATTTAAAAAAGGAAAAAAAAAGCAAACCCAAAAGCACATATTTTAAGGAAGAAGAGAAAGCAATGTGTTACCTCCTGGTCATCTGTGTTGCTGGAGCACCGCAGCAGCGTGGCCCAGCCCTTGGGGTGCAGCTGCAGCGACGTGATGCAGTTCCCACGGTCTCTTTCTCCAGGAACCTCTGGTGTTAACACCTCGAGGCTGTTTCTAGGTGATCCCCCTGCAAGGGAATTAACTGTGAGTCTCCCTGAACTCCACACAATGACTTCACCTCTCCCACCAGCCCTGCTGCTTAAATGGGGTCAGGCCTGCGGCAGCTGCACAGGACAGAGCTCCCTGTCAGGACAGGGGAACTCAGAGGGGCACAGGAACCCTGAGCCAACACCCACGGGCTCAGCCCTCACTTCAAACAGCTCCTTTTTATGAAATCTGAGTGCCAAGACCTGCACTCAGTCCACCACACTGACAACTACATCATCCTTCCATGCTTATGCTCTTCCTTAGTATTACAGCAAATCTAAAGGCTGAGGTTTTTATAAGAATTGATGATCCCCAAGCTTGTACGATGTGCTGTCCAAATTCCTCCCAACACTTCCCCTCGCTCCCAGGTCAATCACGCCCTGGCACCCAGGTAAGCCTCCTCTCAGCAGTGTGCTTCAGCATCTCACAACCAGGAGTAGCTAAAAATTAACATTATAGTTCTTTGAAATTGCAAGGGATGCACAGAGTGTTCACCCACTTGCCAAATTCACACTGATTCTCTGGATTTTTCCCTAAAAGATCATTCACACAAACTTTGTTCACAGGAAAACACAAGGAAAAGGGAGCACCTCCATGCAACAGCAATGCATTGACATAAAATACAGATGTTTCATTTTACCAGATTTCTGAGACATAAAAGCTGATTAGATCCCCAGGCTCTGGTGTACAATGAGGTTTTATTGGTTTAACAGAAGTCTCAGCATCACCATTCTTTAAAAACCACAGGACAAAAAATTAGTTTCTTCACTCTTGTACCCTGTCCTCTTTTGGGTTCAGTAAATCAAAGTCCAGGATTTATTTTCATTGATCTTTTTGTTTAGTGATCTTTTCCTACCTTCTCGCTGGGAGGGCCGTGACAAGGTTTTCTCCGAGGGCGGCCCTGAGTTGTTCTGGTGGCACGGTGAACCCACAGCTCGAGGGCCAGAGGAGCCTGACGACGTGATGTCTGCAAACACAGCAGCCAGGTGAGCCCACAGGTAGCCCAGCACAGGTGGGCTGCAGGCCAGGAGCGCCCCACAGGACACCCCACAGCACAGGAGCTGCCACGTCTCACCAGCATTCACCTGAGCTCGACGTGGTCCTCCTGGCCCGCAAGATCGGGTAGCTGCCAACCTCTAGGGACTTGTTCAGGTCAAGGTCGTGCAAAATCAGAAGGTAACCGGAGGAGGTGGAGATCAGCATTTTGGAACAGTCTGGTGTCAGCCTCATTCGCATCAGAAAGCGGGTGTGAAAGAACTTCTTGTGGGGACAGCCATCCTCTGTGCACCTGGACAGCAAGACAGGCACAGGAGGGGCAGTGGTCAGCTCCATGCAAGGCCCTGATTGTGTCCACAGGGCTCCAGCACCATTCACTGATCACCCCAAAACCTTCCTTTCAAGTGCTTTTTAATGGAATGGGTGAAGTCACACCTTGGCACAACCACAGCAGTGAGGACAGAACTCTTCCGGAAGGAAGAGCCGTGTTCTGGCACAGCAGAGAGAGAAGCTCCTTTCCAGCCATCTCTGCTGCCAGAGAGGCAATGCACGCCCCTGCCAGGGGCTACAGACTGGTCCCAGTGCTCCAGAACACACGGCAGCCCCGCTCTGGGAGGCAGGCTCTGCCTCCTGCACAGAACGCCTGGTGTGCCTGTGCCGGTGTGCCAGTGCTGGTGTACCTGTGCCTGTGCTGGTGTGCCTGTGTGCCTGTCCCGGTGTGCCTGTGCCAGAGCCGGTGTGCCTGTGCCAGTGTAGCTGTGCCGGTGTGCCTGTCCTGGTGTGCCTGTGTCGGTGTGCCAGTGCCGGTGTGCCAGTGCCAGTGTGCCTGTGCCAGTCTGCCTGTCCCGGTGTGCCTGTGCCGGTGTGCCTGTCCCGGTGTGCCTGTCTCAGTGTGTCTGTGTGCCTGTTCCGGTGTACGTACCCTGTTTGCCTGTCCCGGTGTGCCTGTCCCAGTGTGCCTGTTCCGGTGTACGTACCCTGTTTGCCTGTCCCGGTGTGCCTGTCCCAGTGTGTCTGTGTGCCTGTCCCGGTGTACGTATCCTGTTCTGCCTGTCCCAGCGTGTCTGTGTGCCTCTCCCGGTGTACGTACCCTGTTGCACCTGTCCTGGTGTGCCTCTCCCGGTGTACGTACCCTGTTGCACCTGTCCCAGTGTGCCTGTCCCGGTGTACATGTCCCGGTGTGCCTGTCCCGCCGTGCCCGTCCCGGTGTGCCGCAGCAGAGCCACGGGGCAGCGCAGTACCTGTTGGTGTCCCAGATGATGACGTTGCCGTCGAAGCCCGAGGTGACCAGCAGCCTGGTGTTGGTGTCGTACTCGATGTTCTTGACCCAGCTGGTGTGGCCGTGCAGCGTGCACACTTTGGTGTTGAGCTTCCTCAGGTCCCAGAGCGCGATGGTGGTGTCGTCGGAGCACGTGGCGAACAGCCGGTTATCCAGGAACCTGCGGGGTTGGAACGTGCTCAGGGCGCCCTGCACGGGCTGGGCAGGACAGCAAGGCACCACGGAGCCGAGGGAGCAGCCACACACAGCCACGCACGAGCGCTGAGCTCAGCACGGAGCCCGCGCCGCCACAGCTCAGCTGCGAGCAGAACTGCGGGGCCACGAACCAGCCGCGCCCTGGAGCAGCACACCAGCAAGCACGAGGCACAGCACCAGTTTGGCTCGGTTTGGGGCTTTCTGGGGGTCTGTGTGCTGAGGAAGTGCGTGCCAGCCACACCCAGAGCAGCTCATGCTCAGAAGGACCCCGCGGTAACTCGGTCTGCTCCCCCTCTGCACAGCTCTCGCCTCGCTGGGGCTGGAGCAGCACAGCCAGGAAATTAACTGAACTAACAGAGTCTGGAGCGTACTGAAGCAAATGTCAGCCTTTCCAAAACACCGAGTGAGGATGAGGCCCTGTTTGAGCACACACCAGCACACGTTACTTGATTCAGTGAGAAAATGAACGGGTGAAATCACGGGGTTTGCAGTGTGCAGATCAAAGGGGAGCATCACTGGAACTCAGGCATGCCTTCGGTTTCACAAGGACAGGGCACACTGGCTCATGTTTGGAATTCTTTCCATGGGGGCACTCAATTAAGAAAAGCCCCACCTGAGGTAAAAGGAACAAGACTCCCATTCAAAACACACAGTAAACACCTGCAGGCCCAGAGCCATACCACACAAAACAGGCAACAACAACCAACTACAAACTCCCAAACTTTGGTAAACAGTAAGCGTTTTGGTGCTGAGCACAAGGAACATCTGCAGTGCTGCAGTAACTGAAATCCTGCTCATCAACCTGAACAAGGCTCCAGGCAATGCTGCAGACACTGTGTGCAGAACAGACTTGTGTCAGACAGACACACATTTTAATCCAGCTTTAATGACAAATATCCAGCTGATGTGAAACATCAGTCTTTCTCAACAGAACAACCCGCTTGTGAAAAACATCAACTTATCTGATGGGCATGGCACCCCACATCGTATTTGGCTCTTCTGAGTGAAAACACTTGGAATTTTCTACAGTTTTCTTGGGGTTTTTTGTTTGGGTTTAGCTCTTGTTTGAAGTTTTTTATTGCTTTGTAGTTGGTTGCTGTTTTGGGGCTTTGGAGCGGGCTTTTCTTGCTTTGAGCATCTGAGTGAAGAGCAGCTGCAATATTGCTAGAAGACAGCTTAAATTCACACCTCAAAATCTATTCCCAGAACCAGAAGAACTTAAAACCTCTGAATTTAAAAGGAAGGATACTACATGATAAGAACAGTGAGGGATTTAGAGTCATGCTCTTGCTGTTTCCAGCTCTATCGCAATAAAGTGGCAGAGTAAGATTTAAGCTACAATGCCTAGGTATAGGCTGAGTTGTGTCAGACTGTCCCTCCTGACCCACCTGATGTTATTTACACAGTCTTCGTGAGCTTCAGAGAGAGTCTTGATGTGCTTTGAAGAGATTGGGTCAAAGAGCAGGACCTCAGTCTGTTCACAGGCCATGGTCAGCACGGAGCTGCAGGGAGCAGAACAGAAAACTGCGTTTGTGTTGGGTTTTGCCCTCCAGCACAGACTCTCTGTGCCACCCAGGCCCTCTGCCCAACCCTCCAGAGCGTCTGAGACAGGAAAGTAACACTGAGTCAAAGGTCTGAAACGTAAACTTTAGGGAATTTACAGATTTTAGAGGAGCTAAGATTTTAGTTAGAGATAAGCCTCACTAGAGTTAATTAAAATAAATGAGTAGGCCTTGATGAAGTTAGGAGTTAGTAGTTAACTAATAACTGATTGCTTGTCAGCACAATTTTTAGTTAGCTGGGTTTATAATGAAGAATACAAAAACTGACAAACAGCTTTTAGAACATAAGACAATTGTGGGCCTCCTCTGTTCTGAAACCAATTGAAGACAAGGAATGGGAGTTCTACCAAGAGTTCATTTGTCATATTTGCATTGAAAAGGTAGAAAGGTCAGAACGAGGAAGACTTCATTTATTTCCTTATTTTGGGACCCCTCCCCATGCAAGGGACACCGACCCATTTCAAGGGACAAACCACACATGCTGAATGGCTTTTGAAATGAGGAATGGGATGTACCAAAATGATGCATACGCATTTGTATTTTGGGTGTTCAATACTTGTATGGCTAAAAGGGCTCTGTAATCACCTGGAAGGCATGGTGTGGATTTGGGAGCGATCCCACACACAGCAAACACACTTTCTAACTTTAAACTGTCAGAGATTTGTTGTCCGTCATGGCTGGATATCGGCACTAGATCAATATCCATATTTCTGTAATAATTCAGAGCAGGAGCTCTGTAAGCACACACTTTCTAACTTTAAACTGTCAGAGATTTGTTGTCCGTCATGGCTGGATATCGGCACTAGATCAATATCCATATTTCTGTAATAATTCAGAGCAGGAGCTCTGTAAGCACACACTTTCTAACTTTAAACTGTCAGAGATTTGTTGTCCGTCACAGCCGGATATCGGTACTAGATCAATACCCAGGTTTTTTTTAATAACTCAGATTTATCTGCAGTACCTATTTTGCCAACCAGCGGGGTTTCCCCCCAGAGCCGTGCAGAGCACAGTTTACCAGGCGGGCAGCGGCCGGGGCCGGGCGCTGCGGGCAGGGCGGAGGGCGGAGTCCGGCCGCACACCTGGCGGCACACCTGGCGGCACACCTGGCGGCACACCTGGCGGCACACCTGGCGGCACACCTGGCGGCACACCTGGCGGCACACCTGGCGGCAGGTGAGGCAGAGCCGCGGGGCGCTGCCGGCGCTCGGCGGCCCCGGGCGGGCCGCGCACGCACACCTACCCGTCGGGCGAGTACTCGAGGTTGAAGACGGCGCCGTGCGTGCGGGTGCTGAGGCACACGGAGTCGGCGGGCTGGATGGCGCCGTACAGCCCGGTCATGGCGCCGAACGCCTCCCGCGCCGGGTCCACGGCGGCGCCGCGGCCCAGGCAGCGCCCGCGCAGCCAGGCGAACAGCCCGCCGGGCGCGCCGGGCCCCGCGGCCGCGGGGTCGCCGTGGCGGAGCGGCAGCGGCGGCGGGCCGGGCTCCGGGCGCGGCTCCGGCCCCGGCCCCGGCCCCGGCTCCGGCCCCGGGCCCTTGCTCATGGCGGCGGCGGCGCCGGCCCGCGTCCGCCCCCTGCCGGCCGCGCGGGGCACTGCGCCTGCGCGGCCCCGCCCCTGTGCGCCCCCTGCAGCCCGCCCCGAGGCACTGCGCCTGCGCGGCCCCGCCCCTGCCGGCCGCGCGGGGCACTGCGCCTGCGCGGCACCGCCTCTGTGCGCCCTCTGCAGCCCGCCCCGCGGCACTGCGCCTGCGCGGCCCCGCCCAACGCCCCGCCCACACCGTGACGTGTGCGCCGCCCCGAGTGAGCGCGGGGCCTCCGTGAGCAGCGCCGGGCGGAGCGAAACCGGCACCGGTATTGGTACTGGCATTGATATCGGCACCGGTACTGGCATTGATACCGGCACCGGCACCGGTACTGGTACTGGTATTGATACCGGCACCGGTATAGGCATTGATACCGGCACCGGCACCGGTACTGGTACTGGCATTGATACCGGCACCGGTACCGGTACTGGCATTGATACCGGCACCGGTACTGGTACTGATACTGGCATTGATACCGGCACCGGCATCGACACCGGCACCGGCACCGGTATTGGTACTGGCATTGGTACCGGCACCGGTGTTGGCATTGATAGCGGCACCGGCACCGGCATTGGCATTGATACCGGCACCAGCACCGGCATCAGAACCGGCACCGGTACCGGCATCGACACCGGCACCAGCACCAGCACCAGAACCGGCATCGACATCGGCATCGGCATTGACACCGGAACCGGCACCGCCATCAGAACCGGCACCGGTATTGGCATTGATACCGGCGCCGGCATCAGAACCGGCACCAGTACCGGCATCGACACCGGAACCGGCACCGCCATCAGAACCGGCACCGGTACCAGCATCGGCATCAGCATCGGCATCGGCATTGACACCGGAGCCAGCATCGGAACCGGCACCGGCATCAGAACCGGCACCGGTACTGGCATCAACATCAGCATCGGCATCAGAACCGGCGCCGGTACCGGTATCGGCATCGGCATTGACACCGGAACCGGCATCGGATTCAGAACCGGCCCTGCTGCCATGCACTGGTCCGGACTGGAACCGGTACTGGTATTGGCATTGGAACCGGCACCGCTATCGGCAGCGGTACTGGTACCAGAACTGGCAGCAGCACCGTTCCGTGCCGTACAGCCAGTGCCGCTGTCCTGTGCAGCTGCAGCGTTCAGCCGTGGCGAGCGCTCGGTGCACGGAAGGACAAACGGCCGGGCTGAGCCCCCAATGCCCCGCGGGGTGTGGGGTGTGCGAGCCCACGGTGGGGACAGCCCCTTCAGCCCCACGCTGACGGAATCTGTCACACTGAAACGATCCCGAGATTGTAAAAGTCTCTGTCTGTCTGCCCCACTGCCAAAGCAGAAGCCATAATTGGTCTGTGCTGTTTCAAGGTTGTTTATTCTGTTTATCTCTAACATGTTCTGCTGCCCTGCCGCAGCTCTGTCCTGCAGGGCAGCGTGTGGGGCTCTGTCCTCAGTGGGATGGTACAAACATTAAATACCACAAACTACCTGTGCTGGATTTACAATAACGTGCCAATATCTGTCACCTACGTTGGACAGTGTGTCCCCAGCCTAAACCAACAGAAAAATGCCAACACCACAGTGAAACATGGAGGGCATGAAGAAGGAGGAAAAGGACAAGGCACACCCAATTTCCTCCATCTTGTCCCCTTTGGACCCCTCATCTAGAATCCTAAAATTTTACTTTTGCACCCATGCCACACTTCATTATTACTGATATCAAACACTCAGAGCTGGTAATTCATCCTGTAAGATTGAAAACTCTTTTCCATGGACAGAGATCACAGACAGTGTCTCTGGGGGCTCTGTCCAGGGGGGTTCTGACCCCTGCCAGGGTCCCAGGGCAGCCAGGGGGATGTCCTGGATTCCCACACAGACCCAGCACCCTTTGCTCTCCTAAGGACAGTTAGCAGCAGGGTTTTTCCAGAACTACCCAGGGAAGGTCAGGGCCCCTCCTCCCCCATAAAAGCCGCTGCTTTAGTGGACTGTGAATATTTTTCCTTAAGTTTTTATAAAGGTGCTGACATGATATTTTTATAAACTTCAGTATGTTTTTTTAAGCAGTGTGTCCTGAGAGCGTGGAAGCTGCTACTACAACCTGATGGGCAAAGAGGAGTCCCGAGAGGCGTCCCTGGTCTGCTGCCCCGCTGGAGCAGGTGCCAGTGAGGATGGGGGCTGTGACAGCCCCAGACCTCGAGCGCCGTGGCAGGACCAGCCCCTCCTCTGCTGTTGGGCAATACCTTTTCCTGACCCAGGGATGGGGCAGCTGAGAGGTGTTTTGAAACCTTTTATTCCATTTTCAGTGTCATGAGAAGGGTGAGACAATACAGATGTTATAATTCACACCATCACAATCAGAAGTTACTATTTTCTAATTACAAACACTAAAGTGTTTCTTGGCCCAGAAGCTTTTTGCACACCATGCTGTAGATGCCTTAAAGCCAATCGTCTAAAACTGCCTCTCGTGGGTCCCACTGCAGTGCATCTTTCATAGCTCTGTTTTTCCAAAGTATCCAGTCTTATTTGTAAGTCCACCTTCTGAAACTTGTTTTAGCTCCATTTCTCTCTCAGCAGTATCTGTCCTACTCCGTGGCATTTCTAAGTCAGCATTTCTGGTCTCGAGGCTTGCGTAGGGATGCACACTGTGTGGGCCTTCTGTCAGGCTTTGAGAAATAAAATATTTATTTTGCAATCAAATTTTATCTAACCAGCCACAAGGAAAGAACAGAGCCGAGCCCGGGGTCAGCACTGGGTGTGCAAAAGAGAAGTCAGCCTCAGCAGAGGTTCCCTCTATGCCCACACACCATCCTCCTGGTATGAGCGGTTTTTATAGGGAGAATTCTGCCTGAGGCCATGATTTCAGCAATCAGTCCTTTCTTTCCATTCAGAGTCCCACATATTGATGAGATTTCTTTTCTTGGCGTTGAGGTAGAACAATTCAGTGTCTGGTGTTGATGAATTCTATGATGAAGTTACCCATCTGCGGACAAGGCACATACATTTGCTTGCAAATGAGGTTTCAACATAAACTGAGTTTTACTTATGTGAGGGCAGCTTCTAATATAGACATGTGTTTTCAAAAAAATACTAAATATTACATATACCATATTATAATTGGCGTGAATTACATTCCCCACACGTAACACTGGAAGGGGTTTCCAGCGGCTGCTGCCTGCCTCAGAGCCAGCCAGGTGTGTGCTGCACCTGCCTGGACACCCCAATTTGGGCTGGCTCACTGCTCCCGACGGCGCAGGGCTGTGCTCCGCGCTCAGGGCGAGCGTGGTGCTGGCCAAGTGTGGAGGCTGTGGCTGCTGCTGGCCACTGCCAACCCTGCCAGGGGCTTTCATCTCCTGCCCTGACAGTTGTGGGATTCCTTAAAATCAGAGGGGTTTGGGCACGCTGCGAAAGGCCTCAGGCAGCAGGATGGCGACGAGAGCTCAGCAGTAGCTGTAAGATTTGTCAGCAGAAAAATTATACAAGTAGAAAGAAAGGACAGATAGAACAATGGTCTGTGTGTTAATGCTTGGGTAGAATAACTCCCTAAGGTGCAAAAAGTATATCTGGTGAGATATTAGGAAGTTTTAAGCTTAATAATGGAGCTCTGTGCATTGTATCTTAAGGTTTACAAGCAGGTATTGTATTGGAAATAAGCGAGCATTGTTTTAACCAAAGGTACTGTATTTATAGTGATTGGATAGAACTACTGTCAGTGTGCTTTTGCTTTGTGTGACTGGTCAAAAAGCTTTTAAAGTAAGCTGTAACATTAAGTTCTTGGTCTGCTGCTGGGATGTGAGCTGCTGGCACCTTCCCATTGTCACAGCCATGGAATGAGGCTGATGCTAAAAAATGAACAGCTGGAGATGCGTTCCTCAGCAGTCCCGTCCCGTTTGTGGTTTGTACATAGCCCCCGGCCGCGATAACAGCAAACAGGCCGGGGGCTACAGCCAGGACAGCTGGTCCCCGCTGGGTCAGCTTTGCTTTAAATCCCCTCCCTTTGGGCTCCCGCGTTTCACACACCGAGCATGGCCCCACGGAGTGCCACTGAGGAACGCAGATTTCCAGATTTCCATCAGAGCTGCTGCTGCTCATCACCTGGCCAGGCAGCAGTCAGTTGGCTTCCTGCAATTCCAGCCAGAAGGTTGTGCTGTTCGTGCAATTCTTCCACTTTTTCCAAATCAGAAGTAGTTTTTTGGGGTTCACTGGCCATCCAAATTCCAATGGTTGTCCAAATTCCATCTGCTTATGCCTGTCTGCATAGACACAGTATAACGGGACAGAAAAGGAAGAATAAGAATAAAATAATTAGAATATGCAGAACAAGCGGTGCACGATGGAGGAGCATCCCGGGGAATTTGTCCCCAGGCCTGTGGCATCTGCTGTGAGGACTGTTGGCTCCGGAACCGGGAACAGGGAACCGGAGAGCGGCAGCGGAGAGCGTGCTCGGCGGCAGAGCGGCACCGGGGCGGCTCCGGGGCGGTGCCGCAGCGCGGGGAACGGGCGGAGCTGCCCGGGGCCGCCCCTTCCGCGCCGGCGGCGTGATGGAGGCCGGGGCGGCGGCGGGGACGGAGCCGGCGGGCGAGGCGGAGGCGGCGGAGGCGGAGGCGGCGGCGGAGGCGGAGGCGGAGGCGGAGGCGGAGGCGGCGGCCGAGGCGCTGCGGCTGCTCCGGATCGAGCCCTCGGCCGCGGGCGATGCCGGCGCGGGGCGGGCGGGCGGCGAGCCGGGACCGTGCTCGGTACGGGCGGCGGGGCCGTGCTCGGGGCCGGGGCGGCGGGGCGTGCTCGGTGTGTGCGGCCGGGACCGCGCTCGGTGCGGTGGGGCCAGGCTCGGTGCGTGCGGCCGTGCTCGGACTCGGTGTGGCGGGGCCGGGCTGTGCTCGGTGCGTGCGGTGGGACCGCGCTCGGTACGGGTACGGGGCCGTGCTCGGGCTCGGTGCGGCGGGACCGTGCTCGGAGCGGCGGGGCCGTTCCCGGTGCTTGCGGCGGGGCCGTGCTCGGGGCGTGCGGCGGGGCCGGGGCCGGGCCGTGCTCGGTGAGGCGGGGCCGTGCTCGGTGTGTGCGGCGGGGCCGTTCCCGGTGCGTGCGGCGGGACCGGGCCGTGCTCGGGCTCGGTGTGGCGGGGCCGGGCCGTGCTCGGTGCGGCGGGGCCGTGCTCGGTGCGTGCGGCGGGGCCGGGCCGTGCTCGGAGCGGCGGGACCGTTCCCCGTGCATGCCGCACGCCCCCCCGGCCCCGCTGAGCCCGTGCCCGGTGTCCCCGCAGAGGAACGCGCTGCGGAAGCGGCGGCGCTGGCTGCGCGTTCTCGCCGCCCGGCGCGGGAAGCGGCGGCAGGAGCGGCAGCGCCGCCGGGCACGGCGGGCGGCGGCCCACGGGGATGGCCCCGGAGCGGCGCTCGGCAGCGGCCCCGCCGGGCCCGGACCGCCGCCGCCCCGCCGCGGGAGGGTCCCGGCCGCGCTGGCCACGGAGCGGCTGCTGCGGGCGCGGGCGGCGGGGCCGCGGCTCTGCGTGGACCTCGGCGTGGGCGGCAGCATGACCGAGAAGGTGCGGGGGTCCCGGGGGCTGCTCGGGGGTCCCGGGGATGCTCGGGGGTCCCGGGGGCTGCTCGGGGGTCTCCAGGGTTGCTCGGGGGTTCCGGGGATGTTGGGGGTCCCGGGGGCTGCTCGGGGGTCCAGGAGCTGTTCAGGGGGTCTGGGGCTGCTCGGGGGTCCTGGGGCCTGTTCTTAGGTCCTGGGATCTGCTCAGGGATCTCGGGGCTGCTCTTGGGTTCCGGGGACTGCTCGGGGGTCCTGGACACGCTGCGCTTCGCATGTGCCTGTCCCTGCTCTGTATGTGCCTTTCCCTGCTCTGTATGTGCCCGTCCCTGCTCCGTGTGTGCCTTTCTCTGCTCCGTGTGTGCCCGTCCCTGCTCCGTGTGCCCATCCCTGCTGTACCTGTGCCCGTCCCCGCTGTACCTGTGCCCGTCCCCGCTGTACCTGTGCCTTTCCCTGCTGTACCTGTGTCCATCCCTGCTGTACCTGTGCCCGTCCCTGCTGTACCTGTGCCTGTCCCTGCTGTACCTGTGTCCATCCCTGCTGTACCTGTGTCCGTCCCTGCTGTACCTGTGCCTTTCCCCACTGTACCTGTGCCCGTCCCTGCTGTACCTGTGCCTTTCCCTGCTGTACCTGTGCCCGTCCCTGCTCCGTGTGTGCCTGTCCCTGCTGTACCTGTGCCCATCCCTGCTCCGTGTGTGCCCGTCCCTGCTCCGTGTGTGCCTTTCCCTGCTGTACCTGTGCCCGTCCCTGCTGTACCTGTGCCCATCCCTGCTGTAGCTGTGCCCGTCCCTGCTGTACCTGTGCCTGTCCCTGCTGTACCTGTGCCCGTCCCTGCTGTACCTGTGCCCATCCCTGCTGTACCTGTGCTGTCCCTGCTGTACCTGTGCCATCCCCGCTGTACCTGTGCCCGTCCCCGCTGCGGGCGGGCAGCGGGAGCTCGGCAGAAGCCGCCCTGAGCCTCCCACTCCCTGTGCCCCAGCCCGGCAGGGCCGCAGCCGCGGGCTCGGGTCACGGTGGTGCTCTGTCCCAAGGAGAGCGGCCGCCTGGCCTCGCAGATCCGCCGGCTGTACGGGGCGAACCGCCGCGCCGCCCGGCCCTTCTGGCTGTGCCTGACGGAGTTCACAGCCGGGACGCCGATCTACGAGCAGTGCTTCCGCATGAACGACGGCTTCGCTGGGTACCTGGTAAGGGGCTGGCCGGGGCGGGAGAGCCCACCCTGTGCTCTGTGCTTCTGAGCCCAGAACCACTCAGCATCGCTGCTCTCCCTTCCGCAGAGCCCCCGTGCTGAGGGGAGAGTTTGGTGGAGTTTTTAGGTGTGTTGTCAGTGCCTGGAACAGAAACAGTGCCCAAGTGAAAAACAAAACCCCAGGTCACTGGAGATCTGCAGGGTCTACAAGGCCTTGAGCAGTTTGTATGCCCGAAGCAACAGTGTCAGTCCCGGGATTTCTCTGTGCCTGGGAGGGGGCTTTGCTCTGGCAGATGTACCTTAGGCTAACGGGCTGCTTCACTCTGCCTTGTGTTTTTGAGATGGATACAACTCCAGAGAGTTACCTGGACCTGTTTCCTTTGGAGGCCATTGTTTATCTCACTCCTGACTCTGAGAACGGTAAGTGCTTCAGGAAAGGGAGAGCCAGGGCAAAGGGCTGACTTTTAGAAATGTCTCTCTGAGGCCATTCTATGTTTCATGCAATTCCTCACATGGGCTGTCTCACACTGCGTGAGATCTGTGTGCTCAGATCTGGTGCTCAATCTGTGCTGCTGGGACCTGTGTGTCCCAGGCTGCAGCCCCAGGGGTGAGGAGGCTCTGCCCAGTGCTGTCCTTGGGAGGGGGACTGGATCAGTTGGTGAGACCCCAGCAGTGTGAAAGTCCTTGTTCCCCGAGCCCAGCAGCCGAAGGAGAGGTCTGGAATGCGTGAAGTTGAGTTTTCAAGGTTGTTTATTTCTCCTTATCTAAACATTCTCTCTCTGACCTGCCGAGCTCTGCCTAGCAAGAAGGCCACGGCCATCTGCCCCCAAGCCCTGGGCTGCTCCCACCTTAACTACGTGTCTATGTTTACAATTTCTTCACCAATTCCCATCATCTGTGTTAGACTGTGAATCTCTACCTTAAACCAATAGAAAAGTGTCACCATCACACCAAGACATGGAGGACAAGAAGAAGAAGGCCAGGGCATGGCCAAATCCCTCCATCCTGTACCCTCTTGAATCCCATTCTAAAAATCCTAAAACTCTATTTTTCACCCTGTGTTAGTTCAATTTTCACACTACTCAAACCCTTGTGGCTTGTAATTCCTCATACAGAGTTGACAGCTTTTTCCACAGGCTAAAATCGAAGCCACAGGTGTTCTTGACTTCATACTAGGGTCTCTGAGCCCCTGCCAGGGTCTGGAGCAGCCAGGGCAGCCAGAGGGGTGTGCTGGGCTCCAGGAGAGCGCTGTCCAGCAGGGTTGGCTGCTGCGTGGTGTGACCCAGTGCATGTCCTCTTTCTAGTCCTGGAAGATATCGACCCGAGCAAGGTGTACGTGCTGGGAGGGCTGGTGGACGAGAGCATTCACAAGGTGCGTGGTGCTGCCCTGGAGCGGACAATCCCACTGCTGTGGCTGCCTCCACCATCCCTTTTTCCTCGAACTGTGCCTGGGCCCTGCAGCGGGGGGGCTGCACTGTGCAGGTGCCAGAGCCCCAGGACAGGTTTTGTCTCCTGTCCCTGCAGCAGCTGACCCTGCGCAGGGCACGGGAGCAGGGCCTGCAGACAGCCCGGCTCCCCATCCGCGAGTTCATGGTGAGAGCCCCCAACTGCAGGAACTACCACTCCGAGACGCTGGCCATCAACCAGGGTGAGGTCCCGCGGGGCTCTGGTGTGGTCCGAGGCCGGCTGGGGTCCCCTGCTCCCCGGGGAGCTGTGCACGAGGCCGGGACACGGCTGGAGGGGTGCTGGGGGCTGCTGTGGGACAGCCACAGCGGGGTGGGACTCCATCTCATCCGAGATGACAATGGCATCTTGGCCATCAATGGCCACCCCAGCCAGATCTGAGAACGGCAGCGAGGGTGTTGGTGTCCCGCACCCCACGGGCTGGCACTCCTGGGCACAGCAGAGGAGGTGCTGCTGCTCCTTCACCTCTGCCAGGAGAATGCCTCTGTGTTTGTGACTGCAGAGGGCTCATGGCCCAGGCCAGCTCCTCCAGGTTTTAACTCCTGGCGTGAGGATTGTGTTGCCCCTACATGGACACAAGGCAGAGGGAGTGGCTGGGGGCTCTGTGTGCCCGGGGGCTGGGGTCTGCCTGCCTGGGAGTGACAGTGGGGCCACAGCAGGTGTGGCTCACTACAGGGGGGGCACTGGTGGGTGGCACACGCCAGCCAGTGCAGTGACGGGGGCACCTCGCTTTAGTTGACAGCCACTGCTTTGCCCAGGGCTCCCTAAAGGCCTCCAAAATACCTGTCTGCCCCAGGTGAGCTGCCTCAAGCAGCAGCTCATCAGGTGTTAGGTGGGGACGTTCTCTGGGTTGGGTGTCACCACCTCCCTGGTGTTTGTGGGCATGGGCAGCTGCTGGCAGCGTTGTCACGGCACGTGTGTCACTCAACACCTCTGTGCTCTGACAGTCTTTGACGTCCTGGCCACCTACTACGAGACACAGAGCTGGCCAGCAGCGCTGAGGGCTGGAGTTTCTTCTGGAAAAGGCTACGTGCTACCGGACCCAGCGGAACAGGCAGAGCCAGCCCAGCGCGCCACTGCTGCCCAAGGAAACGCTTTATTGTGTGCTGAGGAGCTGCAGGAAGCACCAGCGTGACTGTGCACGGCAGACAGCCGTTCCCAGCAGCGCGAGGAGCTCGCTGGAGCAACGCCTTCTACCTCAGGAATGCGGTGCTGGACATCGCCGTGCCCCTGCGCGGGAAAGAAAAGCCTGGCGGAGCCTGGGATCCGTGAAAACTGACAGGAATTCAGTTGTGCCTCTGCAGCTGTTTGTCTGTGACTCCGGCACCTACACTTGTTCTGAGGTGGGGAGGAGACCTTTAAGGTGTTTTCTTCATTTTATGGAAACAGAGAGTAAGGTGAGGTTGGGATTGCAAAGCTTGTGGGCAGGGAAACGCCCTTCCTCGGGCCAGGACAGTGCTGCTCCTGCGGGAGAACGCGGGACACGAGCAGCTCCCAGGGCATGTCCCCGCAGCACAAACCCACTGAATACTCGGTGAGTTGCTGAAGCCTTTGGCTAGTTGTATGCATCTAATATAAAATAAAAGGTTTAGATCCCCATTGTGTCCCTACAGTTACTGAGGAGGGGTACCTGGTCACACCTGACACGCGCAGGTCCCTGACCCCCGTGTCCCTGCTGGGAGGTACCTGGGCTGGGCTGTGCCCGCGCAGAGCGGTGCCACCGCCACAGCCGCAGCAGGACGGGTGTTGGGTGCAGCTGAGCCCATCCCTTACCTCAGCCACTGCTGCCAAAAGAGCCCTGGAACCTCATGGCCAGCGGCAGCAGGACCTGAAGGTCATCTGAGGTAAGTCTGGTTATGTGTTTTCATTCCTCTCTCACAGAACCCTTCCACAGCCCTGGGGCTGTCTGGGTGGTGTGACAGGGGTGTGCAGGAGCAGGTGGGGGTTTAACCCAGCTGTCGTGGTTTAACCCAAACCAGGGGTTAACCTGAGGTTAAGCCACTCGAGGGTTTGGCCAGTGCCTGCTGCTGTGCCCCGGGGCTCTTGGCAAGCTGGACGTGCAGATTATCCCCTTCAGCGAGTGTCCCAGAGCCAGGGCACAGCCTGTCCCCACGGTGCCTGGGGAGAGGAGCTGCCATCGCTGGAGCCCACCCGTGCCCTGGCTGCCCCAGCAGCCCCCCACAGCTCCCCGGGGCAGGCAGCCACCCCCGACGTGCCCGGGCTGGGGCTCAGCAGCGCGGGACGGGCTCTGCCCCTGCTGCCCTTCCTCGGCAGGCACGGCCGGGTGGGCAGGAGCTGGCAGGTAGGTCACACCAGCACGGCTGGCACGACCCTCTCCGGCTGAGGAGAAGCAGCTGAATGTGGAATCACTGTGTTCCCTTGGAATCACTGTGTTCCCTCAGCCACGAGGGTGGAGAAAGCCACCTGGGGTCCTTCACATTCGGCCAGGGTGGGTTTGAAGTGCCTTTAGTCCGGAGCCTGCTGGAGAGCAGGGTGAGTGACAGCAGGCTGAGGGGCTCACGCTCTTCCCCGAGGGTGGCAGAGGCAGCTGAGAGAACACGGTGAGACCGACCACCTGCACGGCCCATGGAGGCAGGGCCGAGCCCTGCAGGACACACACCAGAGTGCTCCAAGAGCACCCAGGGCATGGCTGCCAACACGGCACGTCCTGCCCTGGCCGTCCTGGGGGAGAGCCCGAGGGGGACGGAGGGCACACATCTGGGCTCTGGCCCCGTCAGTGCCCTGGTGTGCCCCACGCCGCCCGTCACGGCCACGGGGACGCCCTGAACTGCTGCAGCAGGCAGAAGATGGCAGCTGCCAGGGCCGTGTGCTGGCGGGCCAGGAGCTCGGCGCCCAGCTCAGGGCAGACCTGCCCGTGGAGCTGCTGGTGCAGAGCCCGCACCAGCTGCTGGTAGGTGCCCACCACGTCCCCCAGCGCGGCGCCCAGCTCCTGCTGCCGCTGCCTGCAGCGCCGGCAGTGTGTCACCTGGAAGCAGGCCACTGCCAGCTGCACCAGGCGGTCGAACGTCGCTCTCAGAGCACGCTGCACCTCTGTCAGAGGCTGCTCCGCGCTCCGCAGCGCCTGGCAGCTGGACAGCAGGTCCTGCGAAGCCCAGCCCAGGGCACCCTTGCTCTCCACACCCTGCTCTGCACACTGGTCGTGCAGGTGGGTTGCCTGGTTCCCACAGAGCTTCCCTACAACCTGCTGGAGCTCGGCGGTGTAGGCCAGGAAGCGGGAGAAGTCCGCAGGGCTCAGCCAGGCCTGGTGCTTCAGCTGCCCCAGCACTCGGAGCGGGGGGTCCTGCCCTGCCGCGCCCCCGGCCACGGGGGCTGGGAAGCCTCTCCCGGGGCTCCGGGGAAGGCTGGAGCTGCTGGACGGAGGGGTGGTGAGGGGCCCTGGGAACCGGGGCGGGCTGGCTTCCCGCTCGGCCGGGCTGCGGGGCTGGGGGAAGCAGCTGATGTAGGGCAGGCGGCAGCCGCAGCCGTGCAGCTCGCCTGGTGCTGGGGAGGGCCCGGCTGAGGGGGGCACAGGGCTCTGCTCACCCTCCTCGGGGCTGGGACACAGGAACGGGTGTCTCGCAGCCCCGCGGACTCCTGCTCCTTCCCCCAGGGGAACAGGGACCGAGGGGATGGAGAGCGCTGCAGACCGGGCCGGGCAGGACTCCCTCCCCAGCCCTGCCGCCTGCTCTCCGGGAAGAGAAGCCTGTGCAGGCTGCAGCTCCTGCTGAGCCGCATTTCCTGCGCCTCCCGGCTGCCCTGCGCCCTGCCCCGAGCTGCCCACCAGCTCCTCGCCAGAGCCTGCTGCAGCAGGGGACGTTGGCATTGTCCTGCCACCAGCATCAGCCCCCCTGCGCCCGCTGGTCACCAGACTGGCCAGGGGCTCCAGTGGGTCATCCACCCTGTCCTGCAGGTGGTGTGACACTGGGCTGGGTGACACCAGGGTGGGTGACACCGGGGTGGGTGACACAGGGCTGGGTGGCACTGGGCTGGGTGGCACAGGGCTGGGTGGCACCAGGGTGGGTGACACTAGGCTGGGTGACACAGGGCTGGGTGACACAGGGCTGGGTGACACTGGGCTGGGTGACACAGGGCTGGGTGACACCAGGGTGGGTGACACTGGGCTGGGTGGCACAGGGCTGGGTGGCACTGGGCTGGGTGACACCGGGGTGGGTGACACTGGGGTGGGTGACACAGGGGCTGCCCTCACCCCGAACGAGAGCCAAGAGAGGCGGGTGAGGACCCCCGAGGCGCTGCTGCCGTCTGCCAGGAGCTGGGCTGTGTCCGGGAACCCCACATGCCCTTGGTGCACCTTCTGCAGGGCCTCCCCACTGGCCCAGGACACGGCCCTCTCGCAGCTGCTGCTGGCACAGCACTCACCATCAGCAGAGCACTGACCATCAGCAGGGCACTGACCATCGGCAGGGCACTGACCATTGGCAGGGCATTGACCACAGCCACTGCACTGACCATCAGCAGGGCACTGACCATCAGCACAGCACTGACCATCGGCAAGGCACTGACCATCGGCAGGGCAGTGACCATCAGCAGGGCACTGACCATCGGCAGGGCACTGACCATCGGCACGGCCCTGACCATCAGCTTTGCTCTCCTGACAGGCAGCCAGGGAAGGCTCCACGCTCTCAGGGAGCAGCCCCCGGTCCTGGGCCAGCTCCCGGGGAGGGGCTGTGCTGGGGCCAGGGGCCGGTGGCAGCAGCAGGAGTTCCTCAGAGGGGCAGACAACAGCAGAGGGCACAAGGCTGGCCTCGTGCTGGGTGGCCACCAGCTCAGCCCCGTCCTCCTGTGGCCCCTGGGTGTGCCAGCCTGCCGCGGGCACACGGCTCTCCTCGCTCAGACACCCTGGATCCGTGTGCCCTGGGGAGCCTTCCTGGGCAGCTCCGCTCGGAGCTCGGGGAAGGGGCTCTAGGGACAGCAAAGGGGGGTGCTGCGGCTGGGGGCTGCTGTCCTCCTCCCCACACTGCTCAGCAAGATGGTGAAGGTCCCAAACAGAGGAAGCCAGCCATTCCATCACCGACTTTGTCTCCGTGGTGTCAGGCTGCGTGTCCAGCAGGTCAGGGCAGGGGTCCGTGCCAGCGGCGTCCCCCTGGGTGCCCGCAGGAATCCACATCTCCGTGTCCTTCCCTGTGTCCTCTGTCGAGGGCTGAGTGGGCGGCCAGGAGCAGCAGCGCTGTGGAGAGCCCAGGAGAGCTGCAGGGAAACTGACCTGTGAGGTGTAATCAGTTTTCAGGAAAGACCTTCTCTTCCTCAGGCTCCTGGTGTAGGTCAGCTCCTTCTCCTGCCCCTGCCTCTCCCTCGTCGATGGCTTCTCCCCCAGGCTGTAGCACCTCAGCCTCTTTGGGATGCAGGAGGAGCTCTCTGTGCCCTCCCAGCATGCTGTATCATAGCCTGATGGCAAGAAGAACACGGAAATCAGGAAGTAATCCCGGGCAGCAGAATACCCTCATGCCTACACAGTGGGCTGAAAAGCTCCTGGCACAGGACTTGGAATCACAGGCATAAAAGTGCAGCAGCAATGCCTGGTTCCCAGGGCAAAAGGAAATGGTCTCTTGTGATCAAGAACCTATGTGGAGTTGGATGTGAAGAGAAAGGCAGACCCTGGCTACAAGGGCTGAAGGCCAGGGCAGGTGATGAGGGGGCAGCGTCACCTGAAGGCAGGTGTGGCTGTAAATCCCCAGTTAAATCTGGGGACAGCAGCAGCACCACAAGAGCACTGCCCACAGCCGTAGGCATATCACCACAAGAAACACCGCCGGAGGTTCCCAGCTGGAATTTAGATGGTAACAATTTCCACAGTGACAGTTTTTCGCCTGAACACAATACAGTGACTGTGCATTACTATAGAAGCCAAAACTGTTCTAATGGCATGAATTAAATTCTTAAGAGGCTCTGTTAATACTGAGAGAGCTGATTACTCCAGGAACAAGAATACTCCCATTTGTGAGGACAGGGAGCTGCCCAGCCCTGGGAATCCGTGATGCAGCTCTGAAACCAGCCTCTGACCTGAGCATGACCTTTGTCCTTGTGGGTTCATGTAACAGCGTTTTACAGGTTTGGGCTCTCCTTAGCTGAGAGGATGAGAGCAGAGATCCCAGAATGCCACCCCTCTGATCACTGAGTTTTGCCAGCGCTTGCAGGGGATAACAAATGCCCGCACTGTCACTGTCAGGGTGCTGAGGAGTGGCCCGCAGCTCAAAGGCCCTTTCAAAGGCCTAAGAGGCTCCTAAGCGCTGTACGGGGAGCCCAGGAGCACCGAGGGCAGCGGAGCAGCACCCCAGCCCGGCAGCCCCGCCGCGGCTTTACCTGCCCGCGCCTCCGGAGGGCTGAGCCTGTCCGCGGCATCGTAGAACTCCTCCTCGGAGCTGGAGTCGCCGAAGCCCGGCGGCGGCCGCAGGACGAGCTCGCTGTCCCCGGAGCCGCGGCCCAAGGGGGCTGTGCCGCGTTCCGGGCTGGGGCAGCCCGGCTCGGACAGCCCCGCGGGCCCGGCCCCGGCCCCGGCCCCGGCCCCGGCCCCGGCCCCGGCCCCGGGGCTGCTCCCGGCGGAGCCGCTCGGCCCCGGCAGGGCCGGCCCGGAGGGAGAGCGCCCTTCCAGCCCCGCTTCCTCCAGCGCATCCACGGAGTCGCTGGAGCCGCTGGTCTGGAAGCCGCGGCTGTCGGTGTTGGCCGAGTCGGACGCCTCGGACGCGCTGTCGGTGGCGGTGTCGCCGCCGCCGGCCCGGGGCTCGCCCGGCCCCTCCGCGCCGCCGCCGGCCGAGCAGAAATCCGGGCCCCAGGAGTCCTCGGAGTCGCTGCAGGCTCGCGATTCGTACCCTGCGGTTCGAACGGAGCTGTCAGCCCGCGCTGCGGGCGGAGAGGGGCTCGGGGCTCCGGGCTCGGGGCTCGGGGCTCGGGGCTCGGGGATCGGCTCGGGGCTCGGGGCTCGGGGCTCGGGGCTCGGGGCTCCGGGCTCGGGGCTCGGGGCCCGGGGCTCGGGGCTCGGGGCTCGGAGCTCCGGGCTCGGGGCTCGGGGCTCGGCTCGGGGCTCGGGGCTCGGGGCTCGGGGCTCGGGGCTCGGCTCGGGGCTCGGAGCTCGGGGCTCGGGGCTCGGGGCTCGGGGCTCGGGGCTCAGCTCGGGGCTCGGGGCTCGGGCTCGGGGCTCGGGGCTCGGCTCGGGGCTCGGGGCTCGGGGTTCGGGGCTCGGGGCTCGGGGCTCGGGGCTCGGGGCTCAGCTCGGGGCTCGGGGCTCGGGCTCGGGGCTCGGGGCTCGGCTCGGGGCTCGGGGCTCGGGGCTCGGATCGGGGCTCGGGGCTCGGATCGGGGCTCGGGGCTCGGATCGGGGCTCGGGGCTCGGGGCTCGGGGCTCGGGCTCGGGGCTCGGGGCTCGGGGCTCGGGGCTCGGGGCTCGAAGCTCGGAGCTCGGCTCGAAGCTCGGAGCTCGGCTCGGGGCTCGGGGCTCGGGCTCCGGGCTCGGGGCTCGGGGCTCGGACTCCGGGCTCGGGGCTCGGCTCCGGGCTCGGGGATCGGGGATCGGGGCTCGGAGCTCGGCTCGGGGCTCGGGGCTCGGCCCTGCCCCGCTGGCCCCGGCTCAGCCCTCCCAGCAAGGCAGTCGCAGATCAGCTCCCGGAGCTGCCGGGCAGCTGCCAGCTGGCCCCGAGCCCCAAGCCCCGGCCCCACAAGCCACAGAATCTCACCGCCACCAGTGTTTGCTGGAAAAACCCCCAAAGACCAAGTCCAGCCTTAATCAGACGCAGCTGCCACCACACAGCCCCTCTGCTGCTCCCTCTTGATGCTGCCCCCAGCAGCTGGGTCATCCACCCACTTCCTCCCCATCCTTTGTCAAAAGAGGCTGGTTTTTAAACCTTCTTCAGCTGAGACACGGTGCAGTTGCTGGTTTTTCTCTCCCCAGGTAAATACGGAGGCGTTTGCGTCCACGAAGAGTCTGTAGTAGCCAGCAATGAGGCAGACGAGGTCCTTTGCACTGTTTGACTCCAGCAGCAGAGTAAGCACCTTTTGGTGTTTTTTTGGTTTGTTTTATTTTTCAGAGGTGTGGGGGAGAAAAGAGTAAAAAATATTAGAATAAACAAATCTTGTTTGTACTGTAGTCAGCAGGAACAGGCTGCATGAGGACAGGCACCCCCTCTCTCATACTTCCCTCGGTTTGCAGGAGGCACAAAGAAGAGTAATTTCTTTTTCTCACCTCTTGTGCCTTTGCTGCATCTCACTGATGGAGGAAGAATCCCTTTTCCCCAGCAGGAAGAATCACTTCTCTCTAGCAATTTGTTTGGTCCTCCCCACGAGCTTTCCCTCCCAAGTCTGCTCAAAGCCTTTTACCCTGGTGACACCGCCAGCCTCTGAGAAGAGCTGACGGTGCAGGTGACTGCCCTGTCCCACACAGGTGCTCACCTTCAGGTCCTGCAGGTAGATCTTGACAGTGCTCACTCGCTCGGACTCCTCGCTGAGCTCCACCCTGCTGATGCTGGGGAACTCGGCCAGGCTGGTGACGATGTTCAGCTTGCTGTTGATGATCTGGCTGACGCCGTGCCTGGCGCCCACCAGCAGTGCCACGTACGACTCCCTGTCCTGCAGCTGTGGGGGCACAGGTTGAACCTCTGATGCAGCTGGGCAGGGCTCCTTGGCCCCCCGAGCTCCTGGGGATCCCAGCACTGCCTCTCCTTGCTGCTGGGCTGCCAAGCAGCCTGCTCCCTGCTCTCTCCCCTGCACAGGGACCAGCAGCACCTGGCAGACCCAGGGTGTGGCTGGCAGCAGGCGGTCACTGTCAGCAGTGTCACCTGGCAGCCCAGGCTGTCCCCACATGGACCCAGCGGGACCTGCTGCAGGGTAGAAACTTCACAAAGACATTTATGGGCTTGGAAGATATGTCGGTGCTTTTTGTTAGGGTGAGACACTTAAGGAAAAGTGAATTAACAGACATATAATCTGGCAGACATTGTTCAACTGGCATGTAGGTGTAAACTTTAGCATTACTGTGACACGTGGGTGAGGTCTTGCTCTGGTACAGGCCCAGCAGCATTGCTCTGATCCCTGTGGGACACAGCTCAGCACAGACACAGCTGGGGACAGGCAGAAAAATCAACAACCCAAGAAACCTCTTGTAAAAAGGGATGAGGTCTTTTCTACAGTGAGGTTTAAGGGTTTCCAGCTCAGTTCCAATCTTTTACCCCCTAGCCTACTTCTACAAGCCGCATAGCTCCCCTCCCCCACCCAGCCCGGGCTAGGGGGGAGGTCCATACCTTACAATTACCAGAACTAAAAAAAGACAAGTCTTCCTAAAAATTCCGCTTTTAACCCCTCTGTGTTCTCAGAGGCATGTCCACCTTTAATTAGTCACCCCAAGTGCCAATATCCAAACCTAACCCCTGACTAAACCAACCCCTTCCTTCTAAAAAAAAATTCTCTTCTCATGTCAAACCATAACAGAAGCCTGCCCAGATTTCTCAAGTGCTTTATACCACACAAATGATAGGCAGGGTTTATCTGAAAAGCAAGAGCCCAACTAGAAAACACACATATAGCTGTTCTGTGGGCTGGTCTGTGCTGTGGACACTTCAGTGGGATTATGCTGAGTTTCTCCAGCACAGCCCCTTACCAACATCTACCAGGACATCCCGGGACAGGGAGAAGCAGTGTGCCCAGCAGGAGAGCATGCCCAAAGCCATTACATAACAAACAGCTCATACCATCATGGTGGCATTGAAGATCTTCCCGCTGTACATCTTCAGCTCCCCCAGGATCTGCAGGTAGCTCAGGCGCACCTGGACTGCTGCCAGCGCGTGCTTCGTTGGCAAGAGAGGAAACACAGTTGGGAAAGGGGCTGCAGGCAGCTGCAGCACGGAGACAGCCTGTGCTGCAGGGCTGCAGCGTGGCCAGCACATCCAGCCCAGCGTGGCCAGGCAGCCCTGGGCCATCCCACACGGCCGCTGAGTGCAGGAGATCAGGGAGTGTGGGCACAGCGTGGGCACAGCGTGGGCACAGCGTGGGCAGAGAGCAGCCCCAGGGACACGCGGGGACATGGACACCCGGACCGGGGCTACCTTCTGCCGAGGGTCCAGCAGCACCTGGTTCCGCTTCAGGTGGTAGCTGATGGCTTTCTTGATGTCCTTCCCTCTCATGTTCCGAAGCAAGGTGGGCGAGATGAAGTTCTCGATTCCCCAGTCCCTCCTGGCAGAGAGAGGGAAGGGAGCACGGGGGGCCCAGCCACGCTGACCCCACAGCGCAGCACAGGGCAGAGGAGGGCAGAGCCCTGGGGGCTGTGACCCGCCCAGTGGCCTCACTGGCCCAAACCCACTGCTACCGCAGCTGCCACCGGGCCGGGAGCGGGGCTGGGCGATGTGCACTTTGGTGCAGAATGCCGTTTTCACGTGGCCTCACAGGAGGCAATTCACAACCGTCATGAGCAGGACAGTCCCCAGCTCCCCTCACCATCCACAGGATGGAGAGCCCGTCCTTGCATGCACCTTGCTTTGGTGACAAGATTGTGACATTTCAGCACGATCAGTTTCCTGGACTCAAAGCCAGGTGTGCTGCTGGAGAGCTTACTCAGCCCGAGCATTACACACCTGTGAGTAACCCTCAATCCCTGCACACAGCTGGGCACATCTGGCTGCACGGGAGGCAGCCAGTGCCTGGTAATTAATTACCAGTGGCTGGTACTTAACAACAAGCTCGTCACCGCTGCCTAGAGCAGGGGCTTCTCTGGGGCAGGTGCAGCCCCGGAGCACCAGCGTGCAGCAGGGCACACCTGCTTCTTCTGAAAGCATTTTCTGGTCATTTCCCCACAGATCCCAGTACATCACAGGATCTACCACTGCCCAAGGCAGGTATTTCTGGCATGCCTCTGGTGGGCGCAGAGGTGTACTGGCTGTGCAAAGTTGATGGTTACACCCTCTCTCCAGGCAGTGCAACCAATACTGCCGGGAGCAGCTTGGGTAACCACCACTGCGTGGGAAGGGCTGCAGTCTCACGTCCCTGGCCCTGTGAGAGACCCTCCTGTGCCTCGGGACACACCCAGGAGCTCACTGTGTCTCAGGCAGGCCAGTGGGCTGAGCACAGGGCGGCCCATGAGGCCACCCTGCCCTAAAGGAGCAGCACAGCCGAGGGGCTGCAGTCCCCTCTGGCCTCCTGTGCAGGGCACACACGGGGCAGGCAGCGAGCTGATGCCTCCTTTGCGGCTCTCCTGCTTTCCACAGCGGAGCACAGAGACCTGTGCCTTACTCGATGTATTTCAGGGACACCTTCTGCGGCTGGGCACACGCGTAGATCCTCTCCTGGATGTGCAGGGCAGCCAGGCGTAACGCCACGCTGCACTTCATCTCCACAGCAAACCTTTCCTGGAGCACGTCGCTGCAGCTCTGGGGCAAACACAGCACAGTTAGGCCAGCAGGAGCGCAGCACCAAACTGCCCACACGACACCACGCAGCCAGGTGGGGATATCAGCAGCCAAGCATAGGAGTTGGTGTAAGAATTTAAGGCAAATCTAATTAAAATGCCCTGAGTTTAAGTGCTCTGCATTTCCATACAGCTGAGCCAGTCTGAGGCACGCTCTGGTTTAAAGCAAAAATGAGAATGGGGCGAGAAGGGATTCCCAGGCACGGAATGCCCCAGTGTCACCTGCAGGTACAGATATTCAAAGGCCACTGGGTCTTCCTGCAGGAGGTCCAAGGGGTCCCTGGGGACAAAGCACACTCTGAAGAGGCAGCGGTAGTCATGAGAGTCTCTCTTCTGGACCACCTGCAACAGAGAGAGGGGATCACACCACAAACCCTCCCTGCAGGAGTGCACGATGAGCCTTTGCTCTGCAAACCCACAGCAATTGTTTACTGCCACTGGCAGGGGGATGGTGCAGATTGTCCCCAGCAAACACAAGGAGACTTTGCCAGTGCTTGCAATTTCATCTCTGAGTCTTCATCTGCTTTTTTCTTCTCCCTGCAGTAGCCCAGAAGCCCTTTGACAGCAGCACTTTGTTTAGATACCCACTGATCCCAAACACTTGCAGTGTGACCAGGGCAGAGGCTCTGGGGCTGTGTGATAACAGCAGGGGAAGGGGCAGTCACAAGACACAGCAGCCCTAAACAGACCCCTGAATCATCGCTGTAATGTCAATACAATGTCAAGACTGAGTTATCCATCAGCATAATTTATTCTGGGCAGATCCTGCCCAGCGGAAATCTTCTGACCCGTGTGCTCAGTGCTGTGACAGCTCCAGCACCGAGGGACTTGAATGTCGGAATCTGTGGGTATTGGTGATTCCCAGATTGTAGAAAGTCTCTGTCTGTCAGCCCCCTGCCAAAGCAGAAGCCATAATTGGTCTGTGCTGTTTCAAGGTTGTTTATTCTGTTTATCTCTAACATGTTCTGCTGCCCTGCCACAGCTCTGTCCTGCAGGGCAGCGTGTGGGGCTCTGCCCTCAGTGGGATGGTACAAACATTAAATACCACAAACTACCTGGGCTGGATTTACAATAACGTGCCAATATCTGTCACCTACGTTGGACAGTGTGTCCCCAGCCTGAACCAACAGAAAAATGCCAACACCACAGTGAAACATGGAGGGCATGAAGAAGGAGAAAAAGGACAAGACACACCCAATTCCTCCATCTTGTCCCCCCTGAACCCCAAATCTAGAAATCTAAAATTTTACTTTTGCACCCGTGTCACACTTAATTATTACTCTTATCAAACACTCAAAGCTTGTAATTCAGCCTGTAAGATTGAAAACTCCTCTCCATGGCCAGAGATCACAGCCAGTGTCTCTGGGGGCTCTGTCCAGGGGGGTTCCTGACCCCTGCCAGGGTCCCAGACCTGCCAGGGCAGCCAGAGGGAAGCCCTGGATTCCCACACTTGAAGTGATGATCCTTGTGTGTGCTTCCCATTCGGGGTATCCTGTGGCTCCATGGACCCCTCTGCAGTGGGCTGCCAGCCACCAAACCCACCAGCACAGAGCTCCTGCCGACAGACCTGCCTGGCTGCGGGGGCAGCAGGACCCCAGGGCTGCTCCCAGGACACAAGGCATGATCAGAATTCAGCCCAAGTCGCCCCTGCCCCTGGGGCACTCACCCTGAGTGCTCCGCTGATGGGTGGCACAGAGGATGTCACCCACAGCTGCTCTGCAGGCCACGCCAGCCCGCGGGTCCCGCTGCGTGTGGCACTCGGGATGCTCCCAGGGAAGGGGTGTGAAGTGGACAGCGTCACCGGGGCCGAGCCCAGCTCGCCCCTCTGCTGAGCCCTGCAGCGCTGGGCTCCCTCTGCCCCACCAGCCCCTCTCCTGGGGCAGTGCCCCTGTCCCGGGCTGTGGGGCTCTGCTCACCTGCGCAATGAGCTCCTCCTCGTGCAGCAGGTGCACCTTGGCCAGGTTGTACTGCTCCTCCAGCACCAGCGCGAAGTGGGCGATGCTGCGGATGGACAGCTTCTCCTGCAGCGTCAGCACGATGTCCTGGCAGGGCACAGGGGTCACTCAGAGCTCAGCTGTGGCACCAGAACTGCTGCAGGGGTGTCACCGCGTGGCCCCAGCCTGCAGAACTGCGGAGGCACGGACAGACAGACCCCAGCAGGTGGAGGACAAGGTGGGCAAGCTGAAAACCCCAGGGTGTCACAGGTATCAAACCCATCTCCTGGAGCTGCCTGACACTCAGAGTTGTGCAGTTTTCAGCTGGGAGGGGTTGAGCACTTTCTGCCAGCCCCGACCCAAGTGTTTGTCTGTTATTCCAGCTTTCTAGAACTCTGCAACATTTTGGATCCCTGGAAGTGTCTGAGGCCAGGCTGGACAGGACTTGAAGCAAGTGAGAGGTTGGAGGTTGGAACTGGATGGTCTCTAAGGTCCCTTCCAACCCAAATCAGTCTGTGATTCTGTGATTTGTGAAAAAACTAAAAAGAACTTGTCAAGAACACTTCTCTCCAATAAACAAGAATTTGAGACCGTAATTGTAAAAATCTTACCACATCTGACTGAAAGTGGTGTTTCACTTTGTAATAGAGAATTCTGTCAACATTCTAACTGTTATTGAAGTAACAAGGTTTACTTTTGGCGAAAAGAAAATACCACCTCAGGCTTGGCTGAGCACAAATTGAAACAGAAGCCCTCGGGCTCAGTCAAGCCTTTTGAGGCAAGCATAAATGTTTGACCCACCTCAGTTTTAATCCAGGATGTCTCAAGACACAGAGGAATTTCTGGATACACCTAACTTGGGAAGCATTTTACTCATTTAGATGTTTCTGGAGGGCAATTGTGAGGGCTGCTCTCAGAAACTGGGAAAAGTTGTTCCATGTCAGAGCTGAGCAACTCAAGTCAAAGACAAAGAGCTAATCCAGCCTTTAGAAATTAAACCCTTTGGGACAGGCATTCAAATATCTCTTTACAAGTATCCTTTCCTTTCCACCTCCTTGCTTTCTTTTACTATTTTATTTTTCTAGACCCTGCAAGTCAAAAGACTTGCAGACACTTACTTGCCTGAGAGACCACAATGGTTTTGTGAAGCTTGAATGAGCTAAAGTCCTCCTTTTCTGAGGGAAGTTTTCACTGCATGACAAATGCAGTCTCTTTGTGTTTCCCTTTAATATTCTTTCAGCCCGGTAGCCCCAGAACGTCTGTCCATTGTGACTCCCTCCCACAGCATCTGCACTGCTGCAGGACACCAGCTGTCCTTCAAGTAATTTGTGACCTCCAGACACTGGCTGTGGCCAAATCTTAGAGTCCAACATAAACACTGAGCAGCTGCAGCGATCAGGCCAGACAAACTGGAGGTGTGCAAGGCTGTGTGCAAGCACAGCAGGCATGGGGAGGGCTGGATCCACGGCTCTGCAGGGCAGCACTGTGTTTTCAGGGGGGTGGTCTGAGGGAGGATCACCCTTTGTTCAGGAGGATCATTCCCTCGTGTGCTGCTCTTTCACCCGAGGGGCGGAATCAGTGACACCCTGACCAGTGCAGAAGTGAGGCTGGAGCTCAGAACAGCCAGCACAGCCAGCAGAGCTGGTCACTGCAGCCGGGGGGCTGCAAGGGCCCTGCGTGCCCCTTGGCTGACGGGTTGGGCTGGGGTGGTGGGAACAGCCTGCCCAGCTTCCTTACCTTCACGGTGGTGCTCCTCTCAAACCTGAAAGCCTTGGTCTGTCCGTTCTCCAGGTACACCTTGAGGACATTGGGCATGAACAGGAGGGAGCTCCCCTGCAGAACAGGAGCAGCAGCTGGACCCTCGGGCACCCAGCCTGCAGGCACCAGCTGCTCTGCCTGGCACTGCACGGCCTGGCATCCCGGAAAATCCTCCTCTCCACCTTGGCAGCCCTCTTCCATGGCACCAAGGCTTACTCCTGATTGTGCTTCTGGCACAGAGCAGCACAAGGAGAGCACAACAAGTGCTTTACTGCAACACTCGGGGCAGTGCAGCAGCTGCAGCCTGGCAGCACCGTCCCGGTGCCCCCGGCACAGCAGGACCCGGCAGCACTGAAAGCAGAAAGCCATCCTCCCTGCTCATCCCCAACAGCCAGCGGGGCCTCCAGAAACGGCCCTTCCCTCACCGAGCAGCACACATCCCCACACTGACACCAGACCCCGGTGCTGCCAGCGCCACAGAGCCTGGCAAACACACCCTGCTGCTTCCTGAGAGCCTTGCCCTCAGATCTGCAACCCTGGCACCTCCCAGGCAGGAGGAGATGCCACCACGGTGTCCTGAGACAGATCCCAAACACATGGCACAAGACGAGGACACCCTCAGTGAGAACATCTCTGTTGGCTGCTTCCAGAAGGGTCTGGGCACTTGGCCTCCTCCTGCACCTTCCTTCCCAGTTTCACCATCGCTCCCCCGGTTGCTCAGGGCTGAGCAGGGTCACTCCTGCACTTTGGAGCTCCTCTCAGCATGTCCTTGTCATGTTCTTGGACCAGCACGCTGCTCCCACCACTTAAAGGGTTCACCCATTGTCAAGAGAGCTCCAGGGTTAAGAATGGTGTTTCTGAGATGGTCTCTCCTGTGCTTAATTCGCTGTGCCTCACGTTACAAACCTCACATCCCTCTAGACAGAGAGCCCACGCCCCCTGGAAGAGCTGCCAGAGCAAACATAAACCAGCTCTGAATCCTGCCTTGTTCCTCTCATACCCATTCTTGGGGCTCAAGCTGCCTGCAGCCACCACTGAGGAAAACAGGAGAACGCTGCTGCTCTTTTTTCTAGCCCGATTTTGGGGCTCTTTGACTAGCCAAACACATCATGTCCCTGGTGAGACGTGTCTCCACCAGCTCCAGGACAGTGACGCCGTTTCCCGTCTCCCCTCAGCGCCCCTGGCACAGTGACCTTGTGCGGGGCCATGCACAGCCAGCACACAGCGGGACTTAACACCTGCACGGATTATTGCCACTCTCCTGGTCAGATCCAACCACCCGGGCGGAGCACCGGAGAGTTTCTCTCTCGCTGTGAAGGCTGTCAGAAAGTGCCACGAGCACTGAAAGCTTCAGCAGCCGCTATCAGACTAAACCTCCCCAAACTAGCCTTCCTCCATATTTCATCACCTTCTTCAAAGCAATACTATTCCTGTGTTCTGGCTCCATCATCCACAGACTCAACGGTGAACAAGACATCCAAAAAACAGGAGGATTACAAAAAATGCTACCTAAAACACTTCCTGCCTCACTATTGGAAACCTCGCCCTGATGGGAACACCTTTCCTAGCAGGATTCTATTCAAAAGACCAAATCACCGAAAGCTTAAACACATCCTACCTAAACACCTGAGCCCTCGTCCTAACCCTGCTAGCCACATCCGTGCCCTCCCGTGCTGCCGGGCAGGGCTGGCTCCCGGCTCAGAGCTGCTGAAAACACTGCCCCGCGTCCCCGGGGGCCTGTCCCGGCGGGCCGCTCAGGATGTGGAATACATCATCGGTCTGCAGCAGCGCAGGCCGGACAGCAGCGGGGCTCATTAACAATTGATGCTCGCAGCCGGCAGGGTCGGGTTTCACTGCAGAGCGCAGCGCTGGGATCCTTCCCGTCGCCGCAAGGATCACTTAGCCGCGCTCCATTAGGACGACAAGAGCAGTACATTTACTGAAACTGGAGGCTCTACAGTTTTCAGGGCCATAATACCCATTTTGGCTGCCTTCGTGCGTCAGCCCACGGAAAGGAGAGCAGCCCGAAAGCACTCAGGGCTGCCGTGCTGCATAGTGCTTTTCCAGAAAGATATCATAAATATGCAGCACATTTATTTACTCTTCCTTTGTGCTAATACTTCACTGTTCAAAACAGGTTGCATATCCAGGTGGCGAAAAGGGAATCTAACACCAGTGGGACCCCAACACCCAAATTAATTTCTCCTGCCTTTGCGCTGTCATTAAATGAATGGCAATCTAAACCCGGTGTCCCTGCTCTGCGCTTGCAGAGGTTTGATCAGCTCAGCACAACTCCGGCAGAGGTTTTAGGGGGGCTCAGGGTGCAGCATTCCCTGCGCGGCTGCCTCCTTTAGACTCACACCGGGTCCCTTCCAGACCCACCCGGGTCCGGGACAGGCACAGAGCCGGGAGCTCTGGGCGGTGGCAGCGTGCCCAGCCTGCAGCTCCGGGAACAGCCGGAGAAAAGCAGGCTCTGCCGGAGATTTCGGGTCTGCCTGTCCCGTTCGGCAGACCCTGCCCGGCGAGCGGGGTGTTGGTCACATCTCCCGGAGCAGGAGCGCTCTGCTGTCCCCCGAGAGCCGAGTCACCGACCCTGGGGGATGGCACGGCCCGGGCAGGGCAGGGACCAGCCCGGCACACCTGGAAAAGCGTGGCAGGAAGGGAAGGATCCCAGGCTCCGTCTGGAGGCACAGCCGCCCCTGCCCTGCCCTGCAGGGAGGAGGAGGAGCAGGGTCCCCACGCGCAATCACGCGTGGTGACACCCACGGCACCTCCGGCTGCGCCTCTGCCCGTGTGCAGGGGAAGGGGAGCAAACCCTGCCCTGGGAGGGCTCTGAGCAGCGCCAGGGGAGCAGCAGACAGACAGGAAGGGAAAAGGAAAAGGGCCCAGTGCGTGATTTGTCACTGCTACAGAGCAGAAAGGCTCGGCCAGACCTGGACAACGAGCAGCACTAACGAGCAGGGAGGCAGAAAGGGGCACTTTGACCACAGGGGTTTTCATTCGGAAAGACACAAGGAAAGGTCGACAGAGCAAATGACTCCCAGCTGACCCCAGTGGGCTTAGAAAATTACACAGGAGCAGGAGATGCTCAGGAGCTGTTCTCACTCTGGGGAGGACACAAGTGTTGTCAGCCGTGCACAGGGAGCCCAGCACGGGCAGACCCGTGGGCACCCAGCTCAGCTGGCAGCAGCTGCAGGAGCCCCTGATGGGTTCGCAGCACCCACAGCGCTGTGAGCCAACCCACACACAGAGCCAGGCTCAGCTGTGCAGGGCTGGGAGAGCAGCCACAGCTAACAGCAAAGCAGCGGCACAGCCCTGAGCAGCGACCGTGCCCAGGAGGGGACAGAGAACAGGCACAGCTAACAGCAAAGCAGCGTGCCCAGCGGCACAGCCCTGAGCAGCGGCCGTGCCCGGGAGGGGACAGCAGCTCCTCCCGCAGCGCCTTACCCAGGCACACGAATCAGCCTCTCCTCTCCTCTCTGGGGCAGGATTTGTCCGCCCGCACTTCAGCACGGGCGGATTCCACCTCGGGAGAGGACAGCTGCCTCCCGCATGCCCCAGGAACGGTTTCGGGTCTGACGGGAGCGGGGCAGGAGCGGTGCGGGCGGTGTTTTCCATTAGTCCGAGTAACCACAGCAAAGACAAGCCCCTGCGGGTGCCAGCGCTCCCTCCCGGCCCCGACCAGCGGCCGGGCCAGACGGGCACGGCGAGCCCCGGTCCGACCCCGCGCCCGGAGACCCCCGCGTCCCCGTCCGTGCCGCCGCCGCCCTGACCTGCGAGTGCCCGTTCAGCAGCACCTCCTCCGCGAACCGCACTTTGACGGGGTTTGTCTTCAGCCTCGCCCTCTTCTCCTCGGTCAGGAACGACGACTTGGGGCCGCCCTGCAAGGACAGCGGAGCTGGGTCGGGGCAGCGCCCGGGGCGGGCAGGGGTGCAGCTCACCGCCCGCTCCTCCCGGTGCTCGCACCCACGAGGAGGGGAGTTCTGGGCAGCCCCTCGCCCCCAGCCCTGCACAGCCCCCCGGACCGCCCGGGCAGGGCTGGAGCCAGCCCTGGCTGCCCAGCGAGCGGACACACGGGTGTGCCATGTGCCACGCCGGCAGTGTCACCGCACGGGAGCCAGCTGTGTGCCCAGCTGTGTCCCCGCACCCCGGGGCTGCCCTGGGGCTGCTCCTCAGCCAGCGCAGGCAGCGGGCCTGGCGTGCTGGACAGAGCCCTGCCCGCAGGCAGCGCTCCCGCCCTGCTGGGCTGCCCAGAGCTGCCCACGGTCACCAGGGCACTGCTGCCACATGGCCTTGCTGCCACCCCGTGTCGCGTGTCCTGGCCTGCCACAGCCCCACCCTGCCCTGGGGACACAGGCTGGGATTTGGGAGGAGCCCCCAGGCACCTCTGGACGTCCCCGAGCCCTCCAGGGTGCGCGGAGCAGAGTCTGTCCCCGCAGCCCGTGCCACCGCCCCGGCCCCGCACCCGCGGCTGCGAGGAGCCCCTGCCCACCCAAGGGTGCGGGTGACAGCAGAGGATGCTCAGGGCACCCCGGTGGCTCGGACTAGCCCCTCAGAGCTCCCACGCCAGCCCAGCCACCCCTGCCCCGTGCCCGGGGTGCCGAGGAAGGGCCACTTACGGCCGTGCAGCGCAGGACCGTCAGGAGCAGCTCGTCACCGGCGTCCCTGCGAAGGGACACGCGGTCAGCCCGGCTGCCACCCGCAGCCCTGCGCCCGGGACACGCGTGGGGACACACCTGATGAGGCTGGCCGCCCGCTCCACCGACAGTCCGTCCACCTTGCTGGAGTTGATCATCAGCAGCTGGTCACCCGGCTGCAGCTTGCCGTCGGCCGTGCTGCCTGCGGACCGGCGCGGCGTCAGCCCGCACCGCACCGGACAACCCGCTGGAAAACCCGCAGGAAAAACCCGCCCGCATCGCGAAGGCCGCCCGGTAACCCGGCACTGCCGGGTCCGCACTGGCTGGTGTCCCCAGGCGCCACTCGGCAGGTGCTGCCCTTCCCCTGCATCACACCCGGCCGCCAAAACAAGAGCGGTGGAAGCACACCGGCTGCTGACACCGTGGTGCTCCCTGCCTGTGTCCTTGCCCCCCACCCCAGCCTCCCTCTGCCCCATGGAAAGCCCCCCAGGATCTGCCTGTGCCCTTGTCACAGCCCACCACAATGGGAACCAACATGGGCCATGTAGCCTGGGACCCCACCAGCAAAGGACAGGTTTTTTTGTGCTTCAGCTTCAGTAAAATGTTGATTCTCTCTGATCAGGAGAAGAGAGAAGCGCAGCAGAAAGAAACCCACTTGGTACTCCCCACAGCTCTGGGGTAATTTCACCGTGTTTCACATGGGAAGGGGCATGAAGAGGAGCGGGGCTGACAGAGGGAACCTGCCCTGGCCAGAGCCCCAGCCAGCCCCCAAACACAGGGCTGCCCACTCACACCAACAGGTGAAAACCACGCGGGTTTCTGCACCCATCAAAAGCATAAAATATGAATAAGAAAGAGAATCACCGTTTTTGAGTTACATCCATCCCTTCTACAGCCAGAGGAGCTGATCTGCTTGATCTCAGCACTGCCTGCACCCAGCAGCACACCCCTGTGTCGCAGGGCTGGAAGCCCAGGCTCTGTTCAGATCACCGTGACCACAACAGAGTAACATTAAATTCTCTGAGATAAGATTAAATTCTTCCTCTGCATTTCAGATGAAACAGCAGGAAGAGCTTTGGTTTGAGCAGCTCTCTGCATCATGAGGTGAGCAGTGAGTGAGCCCAGGCGAAGCGCCCATGGGGAGCTGACAGCGGTCCCACGGGGCTGTGGGAGCTGGGACTGTCCTACACAGGCTCACCCAGGCTGTGCTCGGGGTCACGGCCCACAGAGGAGCCCAGAAACCACAGCCCCTGCAGCAGCCCATCCCCGGAGCCCGCGGGCAGCCACACCTGCGGTGACCGAGGCGATGGTCAGCGGGAGCCCCGGGCAGATCTCGAAGCCGTAGTGCTGCAGCACGAGGTCCTTGTACACCGTGACGGTCACTTTGGCCCGGCTGGGGGGCTGCGCCGCGCCGTCCCCGGCACTGTCCATCGCCGCCACGCTGCCCCTGCGGACAGAGCAGCCGTCAAACGGGGCATAAGCACGGACAGCGTGTCCAGAGGTGTGCACTGCACTCAGGCTGTGCTCTTCCCCATTCCCCGGGACCCTGAGACTCTGATCAGACAAGCCTGGTCCCCTCCTTCCTGCCCTTATGGGGTTGGTGCAGAGCCAAGAAGCCCTCCCTGTCCAGAGCCTCGATAAGGCGATGACCCTTCCTGTTTGCTCTCTCTTCCCCCCTCTCTTCCCCCTGGACCTTATGGAATAAAGAAGCAAGACAACCACATCGGGGTGAGAGCCTCTTTTGAATTTATGCCCATCTCCTGATGTTCCTCCCCTCGAAGCCTCGTATCTCTGGGCTAGCCTGATAATTTAGGGGCTGAGAGCAGAGTAGCATCACAAAGGACCCATGCCGTTCCCTGCTGCCAGGGGCTCCCCGAGGCCGGCACCTCCCCAGCTCTGCAGCCAGCAGCAACCCCTGGGCTCTGCAGGGAGCTGGGGACATCAGGCTGGCGTGATCACAGCTCCCCAGGCACCCCAGCCCACTGGCCACAGGGAGGAGAGGTTCGGGGTGCCCCAGCACCCACCAGGACCTCCACCCAAGGGAGCAGCAGCACCCTCACCCAGCGAGGCTCTCAGCTCCTGCTGAGATCCACGCCAGCCCTTCAATGTCCACCCTGTGTCCACTCTACATCCACTCTGAGACCTCAGGGAAGGAAAGCAGCCGTGGACCAGGATCCCTGGTAATGCAACCTAGTCCTGCCCAAAAATGTGGGCCCACAAAGAGGAGCCTGGTCCCACCTTCAGGAAGAGCAAGTGTCACATGGAGCAGTGCTGCATTTCTTCTTCCCAAAGTAAATGTGCTTCCCCACAGCAGAGCAAGGCAGGAACATCTGTCCCTGAGAGCCAAGGGGATGGCTTGCAAACACTGCTGCTGTTCTTTTTCCGTGTGCATATTTCCCAAGAAGAACAGGAGCACCGGGCAGGACCTGCAGGCGCGCCAGCCCCACTCTCTGGGCACAGCCCTCTGCTGCCTCTGACCAGAGGTGACCTAGGTGTGCCCTCCACAGAAACCCCACTCACCTGGCTGCGCTGTCCCGAGAGCGATGAAGCCATTTTGCTACCATTTGCTCTATTCTACATGTTTTTCGTGTATGGATTAAGCTAGTCTCCAAATCTCCCATTTACCTGGAAGTGACAGAAATCACAGGAAAACAGAATGACGGTGCCTGAGGAATTCTTCTGGACAGCTCTGGGAGTTACCAGCACTAACTCACAACCCATTAGTAACACGAAGGGATCGGCTGGCACCTGGTGAAGGGCAGAGCTCTGACAGAGGGGGACACCAGCTGTGACACTCACAGATCCCCCCTGCCCACCCAGCCTCCCCTGCTTGGTGCTTTTGGTCAGCCGTGTCTCGCTGACTCTCCGTTACCCTTCCACAGCAGACAGTGAGCTCTGCATTCCTTTCCCGTGGATTTCATGGCTCTGTGGGCTTCTCTGGGAGGTGCAGAGGCTGTCTGAGCTTCCCACCCCCAAAGTGAGCCTGCCAGACCATGATCCTCAGTCAGACAGGGAATTGGTTTGTCCCTGTAGCTGCAGACACCAGCAGGAGCCCTGTGAGGCACCTGCAGCCCTGCACCACTGCCAACCCTCTGAGCTCTGGGAAGGACTGTGGGAGACAGAACCTGGCACAAAACCAAACAAATTGTGCCTATATCTGCCAGGAGTCATGAGGAGCATCAGGCCTTTGTGTTTCAGACCCCAAACTGTTGTATCCACCTTTCACTGGGTGCCTTCTGACCAGCCCAGGAGTCCCGCACGTCCTGACCTCCTCCCTCGTGTCTTCTGCTGTGCCTGGAGGTTCTGTGCCTCAGGGACGCGCTCTGTCATGCTGGGACACAGCTGCTGCTCCGTGGCAGAGGTGGTGCTGCAACAGAAAGAGCAGCAGGTCAGCCTGTGACCAGCAGAGATGGCTGGAAACCCCAATGAGCCACAAAACGTTTTGTCTCAGCAAAAACCAGACCTGTTCCACTCAGCCCCTTCCCAGGCCTTGGTACTCGCCCAGCTCACACTTTAACCAAGAAGGGAGGGCAGGACCCACGTGTGCTGGTGAGCTCCTCGCAGGGAGCCACTCCAGCCTGCATGCTGCCTCCCTGCTCAGCCACGGGCAGAAAACGGAGGAAATCCTGCCCTTCAGCAGTTCTGGGTGCTTTCCTCCTAATTCAGCACCACTCAGCCTGCTCCTGCAGCCACAAAGCTCCTACATCGCTCCCGAGAGGCGCCTCTGAACCCCACATGGGGCCCGTGACCCAGCTGTGCCCCAGAAGCCAGAGCTGAGGGATGGGAAGTGTTATGTGTAGTAGATATAATTTGCGCCATTTCTAATATGATATATGTGATATTGAATATTTGTTAGAGTATACATGTTTGTATTAGGATTACCCCCCACCCTCACAGGCACAGGTGAGACTGGGTGTATTTTAGAAACTGATTTACAAGTAAGAAGGTACGGCTCGCCAGGAGATGGGCCATGGCTGGGGAGATACAGAAACCCCAGGTGCTGATCATTGAGTGAAGGACCCGAGATGGATATCATGGAAATCCTGAGGCAGATACATGTGAATGCAGCGTTCCCGTAAATTTCATCAAAGGATTCAACAAACTCCAGACAGTGATTTGTTCTCCCTCATCACCAAAAAGGAAGATATTATTAACATATAGACTCTGAATAGAAGAAAAGACTGATTGCTGAAATCTTGGCCTCAGGCGGAATTTTCCCTATAAAAACCGCTTGTGCCAGGATGGAGGTGTGTGGGCAGAGAGGAAAACCTCTGCTGAGGCTGACTCCTTGTTGCACACCCAGGGCCCACCCCGGGCTCGGCTCTGTTCTTTCCTTGTGGCTGGCTAGATAAAATTTGATTGTAAAATAAATATTTTATTTTTCATATTAATTTGGCTGGACAAATTTCCATTTATAACAGGAAGCCTGACCCCGTCCCAGAGGGCGAGCAGGAGGTGGCCACGGCAGGGGCAGAAGCCCAGCAGCTCTGCAGGCTGCAGCACACACAGGATCTCAGGGCAGCCTGAGCTGGTGCAGCTCCTGCTGGTCCCTCTCAGCCCCGTGTGCCACCACCCGTGATGTGACACTCGTGTGGCAGGCGTCCTCTGCCTTTGGCTTCGCCTCTCTGCTCAGCAGCACAGAGTGCCCTGGCCTCCCCTCTCCCCACGACGCCCACGGCTCCCTCAGAGCGCGGGGAAGGCGCTGCCCACGCGGGTTCCTGCCCCGGGCTCTGTGCTGGGTACCTGGAGCTGCACCGTGACCCTCCCCAGGTGCTTCCCCACCGCCTTCCTCTGCTGCTCCAGCCCTCGCCCCTTCCCCGTCACTCTGCAGAAAGGACACACTCTGCATCTGGCCTGCAGACAGGGAATTCCCAGAGAAAGCCTCTACAGGACAAGCAGGAAAGTCCGAAGAACGAACACAAGCAGTTAAACCCCCAGGTGGAATACGGGGATGGAATACAGGAAATAAGGAAAGAAAAGGTGTTGTCCTTTCAGGAAATAAGGAAAGAAAAGGTGTTGTCCTTTCAGGAAACCTGAGCATTTGGGCCAAACACAGGTGTCCTAGAGGAGGCAGCTTGGCAGGTACTTCCCTAAAACAATGCACAGCAGCAGGAGCAGCCTCTGTCCCCACGCATCCTTGGGCACACGGAGCATGCTGAGCGGGACAGGGCCACCCAGGGTCACCCAGGTCACCTGGGATCACCCAGGGCCAGCCAGGGTCACCCAGGGTCATCCAAGGCCACCCAGGCCCACCCAGCTGGTCACCTGGGGTCACCCAGAGCCACCCAGGGCCACCAAGGGCCACCCAGCTGGTCACCCAGGGTCACCCAGGGTCACCCAGGGCCACCCAGGGCCACCCAGCTGGTCACCCAGCTGGTCACCCAGGGCCACCCAGCTGGTCACCCAGGGCCACCCAGCTGGTCACCTGGGGTCACCCAGGACCACTCAGCTGGTCACCCAGGGCCACCCAGGACCACCCAGCTGGTCACCCAGGGCCACCAAGGGTCACCCAGCTGGTCACCCAGGGTCACCCAGAGTCACACAGCTGGTCACCCAGGGCCACCCAGGGTCACCCAGGGCCACGCAGGGTCACCCATCTGGCCACCCGACCCTTGTGCAGAGCCACAGCTCGGTGCCTGGAAGGAGCCCCGGGTGGGTGGCTCTGGGTTTCCCAGAGCAAAGCAGAGCTGAAGGGCAGGGCCCACACCAGAGCCACCTGGCAGCTGTGTCAGGACATGCACAGCACAGATCTGACCAGCAAGGAAAAAGCCAAACCCGCTTCCAAGGACAGTACTTAATTATTTCATGGAAAGTAGGAATTCATCGCACTGAAATCTGCTGATGGGCCAAAGTCTTTCTGGTCTTTTTGATAGGACACGTTTGCTTTAAGGTATTGTCCCCCAGCAGACGTGGCAGCAGGAGCAGCAGACAGAGAAAAGCCTGGGCAGAAGTTGCCACAAGCTGCTGTAAAACTGTGGATGCTGTGCACCTGTAACCTCACCCTCAGGAGCTCTGGGAAGCGCCTTTGGCACCAGCAGGGAGCTGGGGGGGCTCTGTGAGGAGCAGCAGCTCCAGAGCAGCCCAGGGAGAAACTGGGCTGTGGGAACCCAGGGCAGGGGAATATCTCCTGTCTGCCCCGGGGTGCCCTGACCCGCAGGGCAGCTCTGACTTAGGCCCTCATTCATGGAGAAAACTTCCAAAGCCTCAAGGTAAACCAGAGACCACAAAAGTGTGAAATGGACTGTAGAGATTGTAGAGAGTGGTGGAGTGTGTCACATGGGTGACAAATTTAGGTTTCAAGATTTTTAGTATGTTATAGATGGGTTCAAGATGGAAGATATAACATGTTGCCTCCAATTCCTTTCTTTTCTCTTCTTCCTCTTTCTTCTTAAGTAGTATCTTGTAAGGAAGTAGAAAAATCTGCATTGCAGGTGTTTAGAAGGCAGTTATTAGGTTGAAAAATAAAATAATTTAGGTGTCACTTCTTAATTAAGTAGTTTAGTTTTGATTAGACTTAAAAAGACCTTGCAGCATGAAGCCATTGGCCATTTTTGTCCATTTCTCCTGCACTCAGAGTCTGGTGCAACCAGTGCGCTGAAGTTTTGATAAGAATGAACAGAAGCTGAAGACCAAAAAAGTCTGATGTGTGTCTGCTTTTCCTGACACAGGACTGCTCCAGGAGGGTCTCCCCTGCCAGAGGAGGCATCCTAATTGATCAGAAGGCTAGAATGCCTCTGCCATGAGGAAAGGCTGAGAGAGTTGGAATTTTTCAGGCTGGAAAAAAGAAGGCTTTGGGGAGACCTCAGAGCCTTTTCCAGCCCCCAAAGGGAGTTTACAAGAAATATGGGGTGTGGCAAGCACATTTCTCTCCCTCTCAGGGTTTTTCATAGAGGAGCACAGAGAGAAATGAAAGAGAAAACAATTTCTGTTTCTGCTCCTTGTTTTTCCCATGGGGAATGTGTTTGGAGAATTGTTTCCCTGGGGTGTTGCTTGGTTGGATTCTGGTGAGGATTGCTTGAGATGATGGCCAATCCAATCCAATCCAATCCAATCCAACCCAACCCAACCCACCTAAGGCTGGACTCTCAGAGAGGGTCAGGAGTTGTGAGTGAGTTATGGTAGTTAGGAAAAGTAGGTTTGTAGTTTTAGTATCTCCTTTAAATAGTATATTAATATATTTTAACATACTTATGATACAGAAATCATTCAGCCTTCTGAATTGAGTCAGACATCAGCATTTCTGCCCACCGGGCTCACCTGCATTTACAATACTGGGGACAGACTTTTATGTAGTCACAGGAAAAGGGATGTTGGGTTTAAAGTCAAAGAGGCAGACTGGGACTACAAATAAGCAATAAAACAATGCACAGTGAGGTGGGCAGGCCCTGGCACAGGGGCCCTGGCAGTGCCCAAGGCCAGGTTGGGTGTATTTGGCACAGCTGGGACAGGGGGAGGTGTCCTTCCCATGGCAGGGGGTGGTTGGATGGCCTTTAAAGGTCCCTGCCATGTCCCCTCCTGTGCCTCTGGTGACACACCTCGCCCTGTGCAGCTCCAAGGTGGGGCCACCCCAGCTCAGCAGGCTCTGCTCCCTGTCCTCCCAGGCAGGGGGGAGCAAACCGAGCTCCTTCTTGACACAGGTGGCTCTGAGCTGCACCAGAGACTCTTCTGGCACGACCCAGCGTCTCTGCAGCAGAGCTTTTGAAGGTCAGCCAGGTCTGGTGAGACATGAGGACAGAGCAGCAGCTCACCTATTTCCCACAGAGCTCCTACAGACGTTCTCAGAGATGCAGCCAGGGAGACAGCTGAGCCAGAGGAGCTGGCCAGAGCTCCCGTGGCACTCTGAGCTCCCACCACACCACCCGTGTGC